ATTTGATGAAATTATTCTACAATTCAAACTGTCCCCTAATTCAGACAACTCCAAATTAATGAAGTTTCACTATAAATAAGAACAACATTATGGATAAATGCTACCAAATAAATGAGCATCTAAAAATCTAAAGTCTAAAAACAAACACCTTGAACCAATATTGACTGTGATACTTTCCCCAGTGGGCACAACACCAGCTGGGGACAGAAAAAGGAATGTTTTTCCTTTGCTTTCTTTTCCACAGGAAGGAGAGGACGTGGGCATAGAGTACTGGTTCTAGGGAAAAGTGCTTTTGCTCCTGAGCTCCATCCAGTTCCAAGTGAGGCACCACTTGCTTTACTAGGAGGTAACCACTGGGTGAAATACTACCAAGGAACCGGGCAGTCCCTCAATCTCAGAGCACTACCATTACCCAGGAAAAATGCACTTTCACAAGGGAGAGCTGACAAGTAATGGACCTTACTCTTTCTAAGAGCTACAGCCTCCTGATAGGATGTAACAGGGTACACAGAATCTTTTATGAGTGTTTCTTACATAAAATGGCTATGTGAATGTAACTGTTCCAAATTGGGGGAACACAGGGGTCACTGAAACAACACAAGCACCCTAAGGAAAACACTCAGATACCTGTAAAATGTGGATGCTCTACACAACTACTGGCCAGGACTCTTTCAAGAGTCAATGCCATTAAAAACTAAAAAAGTGTGTGTATGTGTAGCTGTAGATTCTTCTAGAAATAAAAGTGACTTAAAAAGATGACAAGTGGGGCTGGAGATGTAGCTTAGTGGTTGAGTACTTGCCTAGCACAGGTGAGGTCCCAGCTTCATTCTTAGCAACAACAACAGCAGAAAAGTCATAACCAAATATAATACATGAGGCTCGTTGGGTTAATTTTTTTAAAAACTCCAGCTTTTATATAACATACATTTGGGGAAATGTGAACATGGAGTGGACATCAGATAACATATGGCATTATTAACCTGCTTACATGTTATGTAGGAGACTGCCCTTATTCTTAGGTGATAGCTGAAGTATTTAGAGGTAAAGTGTGGTACTGATTACAACTTTTCTTCAAGTAGTTCAGCCAAACTGGATGTGGCGACCCATGCCTTTAATCCCAGTACTCGGGAAGCAGAGGCAGGCAGAGATCTGTGAAATTGAGGCCAGCCTGGTCTATGTAGCAAATTCCAGCTGGAACTATAGGAAGACCCTGTCTCAAAAAACCCAAACAAAACCAAACCAAGAAAAGAAAGGTCCAGTCAAAAAAGAAAAAAATTCATAAAGAGAGAATGTCATAAAATGTGAACAACTACTGAAATGAGGTAAAGGGCAGACAGGAGTTTGCCTTCTGACATTTTTAAAGATAAAACTGGGTTGAGATATAGAGAGGCGACCAAAAGAAACGTTGTACCAACATGGCATGTGTGCACAGAGCACACAGGGAGGGCCAGATCAGCATGAGTGAAAATACCAGGTGCTCTTACCTAAGCTTAAGATACAAAGCTGAGTAGACTGGTTTGTGATTTTGCTTTGGGCCACAGGAAGAAAGCTATCATTTCTCAATGTCAGCACGCTGTTGGTACCACATGGATCCATATTTCCCAGTTTGCTAGCTCCAGTATCTGTGATGTACAAATATATAGGCAGATTTATCCAAGCTGTCAAAATGCTTGTTTTGTTAAAAGCCAATTCGCTCTACACTTCAGCTCAGAACACTGACCGTACATGGTGAAGGAAGCTTGAGTTTGCTCTGCACTCACAAGTCCTTAGAGCAAACACCCCAGATGCCAACACACACACACAGGCCAATTCCGACCTTTGGCTGACAGCTGAGTGACTCTCTTACACTAGAAGTTTGCTGAGCACCACAGCTGCTCAGCTTTGCTCCTCTGCAACTCCAGTCTGAGTGACTTCAGCAGGTCACTAGAGACAAAGCCACCAAACAAGAGGAACTGTCTGGCAGGCAGATCATGACAAAGCCTCTCCCTTAAAGTGTTTCTAATGCAGATACCCAGGCACTGCCATGACATCTCAGAAAACTCAACAGTGGCAAGTAACTGTAAGCTGGTTTGGGTTTGCTGGGCTATCCCACCACAGGTAGAACCTTGGAGAAACCCATCAACTTAATTCACAGAGTGATGTTGACAGTGGGATACACAGGTGGTTGGTGGCCTGTGACAATTTACATACTTATGTAGAACAGGATACATACAGGAGCTGGCAGACATGCTCTCAACCACCAACGCCACACACATTAGGCAAGAGTCACAGGGGGAGAAAACCCAGTGAGAACCAAAATCTTCCCCAGGAGATGTTAAGATAAGTGCAAATTCTTCCTCTGGTATAAAGCTCACTCCCTATCCCCCAGAGAAGAAAACGCAACTGGTAATGAGGGGAAAAGTGATGGCTGGAGACAAAGGAGAATAAACAGGGTGGTCTGAGGATCCACTACAAGTCAGGAATGTGAAGTGCGAAAAATGACTCCATAGTTTGTCAGCCAGAGAAGTGGGTCGTTTCATGAACAGAGAGAGCTGGTTCAGCAGGAAAACCCAAATAGTCCCTGGGAAGAACTGGGAAGTGTCCAAGAGAGGCACTGAGACACTGCCTCAGGGGACGCAGTACAGGAAGGGGAAACTGTGACCTCAAAGAGAACTGGAACGCTCAGTTCAGATTTCTCAGAACAGTCTGACAGGAGTTTAAAATGTGCACAAAGATAAAGATGGGGATGATGAAGGAGGGCACTCCCCCCTGCCCCCCAAGGGTGTCAGGTGTTCTCTCTGGCCCAGAAAATTGGTCTGTGCCTTCAGGAGCTCTGTGAGCAGGAAGAGAAGAGCCCAACAGCTGGCAGAGGTACTTTCCCAAGGCCCCTTCCTTCTCTTCTTCCTGATCTACTCCAAAGTATAAGGTAGCCCCTAGGGATTTCTTCCTCTTCCTGGCTACTCCAAACAGAAAATATCCCCATTCAACTTCCACAGGACCAAAAAACTAAGCCATAAAGTACGTCCCAGTCTGGGTTCTAGTCAGTAGGATCTCCTGATCCAACTCCACAGTCCTAGCACTTTGACTGGCTCTATCTGCTTTCTGTGCCCAGGACAGACCCAGGTGTGGCCTTCCCAGTTCTTCTACACATCATCCTACCCCACATTGTCCCAGGCCCTACTGGCCATGTTCATAAACCCCTTCTACATCAAGCTTTCCCAAGAAGAATTTATGTTCTCAGTCTATGCTCACAAAAAGTACCAACCACACTAGAGTTTGTGCACATGCTGACACTGAAGTAAAGAGGAGAGCGTGCTCCGAAGATGTGCAGGGCCAGCATCACCACTCTGAACACATTTACCCCAGCACAGTTCTCAGCTGTGAGCAACTCTTCCCTGTCACAAAGTGCCAAACCCTAGGGGATATGCCAGGCCATCAGCATCAATCAAACACATGAAAACAACCAGTTCCAGGCTACAAAATCTCAGGTTAGGGTGCAAAATAAAAAAAACCCTAGGATTCCTGGAAAGAGTGAGGAATGCTGGCTAGAGGACAGAAAGGTGAAGCTGTGAAAATAAACACATAGTAATATATGCACCTGCCAGCAATCAATTTTGGCTAACTTGTCATAAACTATTACTGTGAGGACAAGTATTGTTCAGCAAAGAAAACAGCAAGGCAGGTAGGGATGAAAAAGTAAAGAAAAAGTGGCAAACACATGGACTGTTGGGCACTTATTGCGGATGGACTCCTTGTTTAAACCCTGACAGCCAAAATAAAGTAGTGCCCAGGATCAGAGGCTGGCCAGGGGCCACCTGAAGCCTGGGTGGGGTCACCCAAAGAAACCCCTTGTTATAAAGAAGTAGGACTGAGCCTACAAGACACTTGCACTGTTTCAGAAGCCACCCTGGGGACCAACTGTGGAGCACACCCTGCTGGAACTCCCTACAGAACAGAGAGGGGAAGTTCTGAGAACCAGTCTGTTTTAGAATTAACGTCTCTATACAGATAAATTATAACTTTCCTTTCTTATAATACAATCATAGGGCCACTCCTCAGCCTGTGCCACAGAGCTTCTCCACACTTTAATAAGGGGAGGATGGTCACCAAGAAAACAGCACAACCTCCCAACCCAGGGGCACACAGGGCCCTCACTCCCCCACTCCATGGGGCAACATAGACCATCTGGGACTTCCTTCTTTACTGTGGAACTCCAAAAGAAGTGTCCCTAGTGACTTAGCATAGGGATTCTGAAACCTTAGACCCTCTGAGCCTCCTTGTCTGTTAAACCAATTAGGATGCCAGACTTTCAGGAAAAAGAAATTTAAAATATAAATAAACGTGGAGTGGGAAGCCAGGGGAAGCTTGAGATGCGACTTCATTAGGAAAGCTTGGGATAGAGATGGAACAGGTGGAGAAGAAAGAAAACGATGAGACGTGGGGTAAGAAGGCAGTCTGGGGAGTCTTGCCCTGAACAAGGGAGAGCTGTAGGGCAAGGGATGGCAGGGCAATCCGGGGACACGGGCTGCACAGCCCTAACATTCGAGGTGGGTGTGGGTGGAAAATAGCGGGATTCACGGGCCAAAAGAGAGCAAACCTCAGCGTGAAGGTTCAGAAGAGAGCTCAGCATTAAGACTTAGGGATGTGGGTTCAAAGAGCCAAGGGGAGCCTCAAAGGAGTCCTTGAGGCTCAAGGACTGCCTCAAAGGAGGCAGAGAGCGGGGTCTCCGACTAGACTGGAAAGTGGGGCAACCTTAATTTGCGATGGCAAGGTGGGAGGCGACGAGCCTTAAGCCGGTACCTGAGAAGAGGCAAGTGTAAGGCACTGCGGGGCAGGGTCACTCCTGGCCGCAGCCCGCAGCAAAACGAGGGATCCCTTCCAGCCCGGGCACGCGGGGGAGGGAGGCTGCCCGCCCAGGCCCGGTCCCTAGGCCGGAACACTTCCCGCAGCAGGGTCCCCCGGGAGGGGCGGGGCCTACGAGGGCGGCGGGGGCCGAGAAGGGGCTGGGGTCCCGGACTCACGCATCAAGGTGCTGAAGGCCACGACGCCGAGCAGTCCCTGCAGGAAGATGCCGAAACTGTGCATTAGCGCGCCGCTCTCACAGCGGCCCGCCCCGGACGCCACGGTGGAGGGCGGCGCGCCCGGCAGCCCGCCACTAGCGTTCCCGCCCGGGCCTTGCATAGCGGCCTGGCGGGAGGGCGCGAGGGGCCGCGCCGCCGCGCCGCGACCCGGGAGCCGGAGCCGGAGCTGGAAGCCGGTACCTCAGTCGGCGGCCCACTCGCCGCCGCGCGTAACCCGACGTCTGAGATTGCAGCTCCTGATTGGCCAGAACAGGCGTGGGGCGGGGCTCCGGATCTCCCCCTGAGGGGAGGGGCACCAGGCAGGCCAGGGGGCGGGGCCAAGGTATCCAGATGCAGGTGGACAGGCCAGGTGAACCAGGCTGAAGGGAAGCAAGCAGCCCCCAACTCCCCGTGCTGTAAGTCCAGAGGGCAGCGGCCAGACAACGATTAAGTCTGCGATTAAATTCCTTTCTCCACCAAGGTAAATCTTTTATGCCCCGGACAATTTATTAAAAATACTCTTCGGGGGCTGGAGAGATGGCTCAGCGGTTAAGAGCACTGGCTGCTCCTGTAGTGGACCTGGGTTTGGCTCCCAGTACCCTCCAGTTCCAGGGGATCCGACGCCCTCTTCTGACCTCCGTGGGCAGTGACTGACACGGGTGCACTTACATACATGCAGGCAATACACTCACGCACATAAAAATATTTTTTAAAATACTCTTGGATTTTACCCTCAGATTTAGATTCACTACTTAAGAAGTGGAGCAATAAACTGCAGCTAGATTATTCTGATGCAAAGTTTTCTGTAAAACAGTCTAAGACTGAAGCTTCTTCCCAAGCCAAACAGTGAGTGTTCTGCTTTCATGGCCCAAAGACAAAGGATTCTACTCATTAATCCATATTAAATTCCGCCACCAAACGTAATTTGTGGGGTGGTTGTTTTGAAACAGGGTCTTATATAGCCCAGGCTGACACTCACACTTGTTATATGTAAACCAAAGATGGCTTGAATTCCTAATTCCCCTGTTTCTACATTCCAAGTCTTGGGATTACAGATCTGTGACACACCATGTGTTACTGGGTTGCCCAGGCTGGTCTGGAATCCCTGCATTTGAATGATCTTTCCAATTCAGCCTCCAGGATAGCTGGGACATTACGAGGGCTAAATGTTATCCAAAAGATTTCTTGGTTAACAGGACTATTAACCTGATTATCCAAGGGGGAGAAAATGCAGTTCTTCAGTCCTTCTCTTATGAAACACTCACACACCTATGTCTTTATGCAGCATTCTAGTTGCATGGATGCTCTTCCCTATTCCTGCTCCATCAACTGCCCACCTGACCTCCCTATTCCCACTGTGCTCCTGCTTTCCTTGTGTGTGCTAGTCCACCAGTACTTTGCAGACTGCTCAATCACACAGCTATAAATATCTGTGTCTGTGTGTGTGAACTTCCTGAAGACAGGAACTCATTTTTATTCACTCTTGAATCCAACAGGTTTAGCACAGAGAACATGCAGCAAATGGTAACTGAACTTTAATTCATAAATTTAAAAACTCTCCACAAATTCATTGACTATGGAGAAATATAGGAATCAGTTTAAGAAAGTAAATGGATACAGGAAATTTAAAATTGTATTATTTCCTTCAAATCCAAGAAGGACCTTGTAAGAACACTCAATAGTAACAGTTCATGTTCAGCGATCAAACAAGAGGATGTGTCTTAAAGCACAGGAGGTTTGGACTGGGCACAGGGAATTATTAGATGCTTGAAGACATAGTTCAAGGAAAATTGCACATAATGCTGAGAAAAGAAGTTTTGGGCAAGCACTGATCTGCTTATTCAGATGAGATTGATTCTCATAGAGAACAAGAGACAGTCTTCAGAATTCAGGAACAGAATTCCCAGGTCATAAGGGCTGGGGAGGATTCTGCTGAGTAAAATAAAAATTATCTAAATCTAGAAGGGAAAGGATGAGACAGCAAGAGAGGAGGGGAAATTCCAGAATTTTATTTAAGTAGGAAGGACCTTTCTCATCAGAAATGAATCATTTCTCATTCAGAAATGAATTCTCTGAGGCCCCTGGGCAAAGAATTTAAAAGAATATACTCTCACCAAGATGCCTTCCTTACTGTCAAAACAGCACAAACGAAGTTAAGGTTAAATAAAGATTAATACCTGTCTCAATTTTCTCACAACTACTTAAACTGTCATAACATACCACAAGTTTAATACGAACTTATTTACCAAAAAGAGAAGAAAAACAAGCAAATATTCATTTAAAAATAGCTTTTTGTTTTGTTTTTAATCATTTGAAGCTATACCATCAAACTTGATGGGAGTTATTTTAATAATATTCTTGTCCATATTTCTCCTTAAGTGTACTTTATCTTCAATGCATGGTTTTTGAAATTAAGAGCAAGCAGGAAGGATACAATGCAAAAAGCATCTCATTTTGTCCCAAACAAGCAGCTTTAAAAAAAAAAAAAAAGGTAAAATACATTAAACAAAGTGCATTACTTCCAAGGAATTAGTATTAGAGAGAAGCCTAAGGACAGTACTGGAACCAGTCAGGAGTCCTGTCCTGGTAGGCCTCTGATTGTCTTTAGAGAAATTCAACCAAAAAGGAAGAAGGGGAGGAAAAAGAAATGAGCATTTAAAATGAGAAATACTCAAACTATCTTCCCCAGAGGGTCTTGTAAAAGGAGTTAAGAGACATCCTGTTTTACATTTACTTAAGCTTTGTAACCTTTTGTAACCTCACAATCATCTGCTTTGTGGCTTGATTTGCCCTTAAAACTTATATACATACCTTCAACATTATGTGATCATTTCTATTCTGCCAAGCTAGACATACAGTTAGACTGAATAAACCATGTAGGAACCCTTAGGCCTGAGTTCCAAACATCCTGAGAACAGCCCCCTACCCCCATCCCCATCAGCAACCATTTCACTAGTGAGCATATGACTTGCTTCCCATGGCTCAGGTCTGCACTTTAATGCTGGAATTGAAGACGGTTTCCACAAGTCGTTGCTTACTCAATTTCCTTTCGCAACAATTCTTTGTGATAGTTCATAGTACCTCATCAGTCTAGTCACAAAGTGTTTCCAGCTTTAGGCCTACTTTTCTACCCCTCCCCCACCCTCCACTCCTGCTTTGCTGGTGCTTGTGAAATTTTGACTTCTTAGGCACTGTAGCAAGAAAATCAATATACACTTCATTTAATACTCACAGCCTTCTACATTGAAGGCTGTTTCCAGAAGCAAGGCTATCTGTGTGGTTGAGAACAAGTACTAAGTAAAGCACACCAGGTGAGTGGGCCTGGAATCGGATCCAGAATTCTTATACCAAAACTCTAGGTTAATAGGTAGCTTATTTGGATAAATTCAAAGATTTCTAACATCTATACATTCTCATACAAAGGAATCAAGATTCACTAGTAAAACATTTAAAGTGAATATAGCCAAGAAGAATTAAAAATGGCAGGAAAATGACTCATTAATTTTTGGTTGTACAGGAGCCTCTGTCCTTAAAGTTTCTGGCCTTCCTCATTTCATAAGGACAACATATTTTCTACTGATAAAACAGAACAGTTTTGAGCTTGTGTGTATGTGCACACACATAAAATATCTTCAGTATGTAAGACAAGTTCAAACCCAAGGTTTTATGTCCACTGTCAAGGCTACAGACTTTCTCAGCAGTTCTGTGTTGGCTTGAGAGAAGGGAATGTTTTGAGTCCTACCTAAGGCCTACTTGAGCTTGCAAGCTGCATTCAGGTATCACCTACTAGTGACTGAACTGGTACTACAAAGTACATAAAATGTATTCAAGTCTTCAAGAAACTTTGGTCCAATGCTTACTCACTCCTCTCTCTCGTAGTGCGAATCATTGTACTTCAAGTAGAAGAGACATATAAAGGCCAAATTCTGAACTGGTTTTCTATGCCTGCCTCTATCACAATTCAATAAATATTTACCAAGATAATCTCCAGAGGTTAGTAAGGACCCTTCCTAGACCCATACTATAAATGCTAGGAGCATGCACACTGCTAAAGATACAGTAAAAATGTTTCATTGATACATTCCCTACATTTGAGAGGGCTGAAGCTGGTTCACAAAGAAAAACAGTACAGTCACTAGGAACCCACAAAATATAGTCAAAATGTCAGAGCAAATCTGCATGTACAGTTGAAGATTTCCCCAAAACACTGCACAGCAGTACAGTCTAGAATTTGTCAGCTAACTACTCAGGTTCAGGAGGATGATACAGTCCATTAATAAGTTTCTAAATTGGCCAATCTAGGGTAAAAATGGATCATGAAAAGCCTGACTGCAGACAAGTCAAGAAAACTGTAGGTGAACTCCAAGCATATACAGTCTCCTTACAACGTACCTCTCATAAATTTATGAAGTTGATGCTCTTAAAAACAGAGTTCATACACATATGTGCAACATACAAACATTTTACCCCAACAATGTAAGCTATCATCAAGCTTAAAATGTGTCAGGATCACAGGAACTGAATCATCACTGCTGCCCAATTTAACCCAAGCATCTTCATTAGATAAATAGAAGAAAAATAATTTTTTTGAGGCAAGGTCTCATGTAGCCCAGGGTAGCCTGGCATTCTCTATGTAGCCGAGAATGATCTTGAACTTGTGTTCCTCTTGCCTCTGCTTCCCAAGTGCTAGAATTATAGGTGTATGCTTGGAATTCAAATTTTATACTGAAAAAATATCCTGTGCAAAATTTCTACACAATTATCTTCTTCTATGTGGTATCAGGGCGCAGGAGTGGGAAAGAGTAATTCTTCTGTAATGTGATTGTCCAGTACACTGCATTCCAATTAGTGTAAGGAATATTGAGGGAAGTCCCCCTCACATGTCCAATTTATAACTGGCCTTTTGCTAGGAGGAAGAAGAGACTGAATAACCCTGGTACAATCTGACAAGCTTGTGTCCCAACCCTCTCCCATTTAGGACCACATTGCTTTACCTTACAGAACAATACCCCTAACCTGTGGTAGTTCTAAATTTTATGGTCTTTAGAGTCAAGAAGAGAAACAAAATAAAATTCATTGTTGTTATCTTTCATTTTACTAAACAAGATAACAATGTAAGGCCCTACAAGCTAATTCCAAAAGTTCTGTGTTCCATTACTTTTCCTCCAGAGATTTCCCCTCTGTTATTAGTGATTTGACTGCTTGAGTTCTCAAGAAATTCTATTAAGATAACCACTACCCCAAGTCTGCCTGCTTAATACTAGCTGTTCCCAGGGCTGGAGAGATGGTTCAGCGGTTAAGAGCACTGACTGCTCTTGCAGAGGACCCAGCACTCACATGGTTTGAGTCCCAGCACTCACATGGTGGTTAACAACCATCCGTAACTACAGTTCCAGGGGATCTGACATCTTCTGACCTCCACAGGCCATTGCACGACATGGGTGCAGTTACATACATGCAACAATACACTCATACACATAAAATTAAAATAATAAATATTTTTAAAATATACTAGCTGTTCCCTAATGTCAAATATGCTTCTCTTCCATGGGAATAAAATAGCAAAAATTTTAAAACTGAATCTCTAAGTAAGTTCAAATACATCAACTATTACACAAAGCTTCTTTCCAGATATGCCTGTGGGCAGCCTATGCAAAGTTATTTATGGTTTAGTTGGAGGGCTTAAGTTACGGTGGGTCAAGAATTATGTAATGAAGAAGAGGATCCAGACTACAGACTTTTTGCCAGTTTCCATAAAAACAAGTTGGGGGTTGGGGAAAGAAAAAAAAAATCACAATCAATTTAAATTTGTAACATTACCTTGTATTTGTATAGTTGTTCAGGATTTACTCAGTTTTCAGTCTGAAAACATTTTCAGTTATTGGGGAAGAATGCCTAGGTTATAAATTTTTAGGTGATTAGTATAATCCAATAAATAAATAAATAAATAAACAAACAACAAAGTAAAACATTGAAAGGAGGCAACCTGTGTATGTATCCTTCTTCATTCCTCATGGCTACAACAGTAAGCAAGTGCTATTATTCTGTAATAGCTAACAATGCCATCACCAGTGAAAATTCACCTGGAGTTTCACGTCAACTTGAGTGATAAATACTCCAAAGAATACTGAGTTATTGAGTGGGAATCCTTAGACTATAAAACATTGCCATTTAAATTGGTTTAACCAAGACAAGCATAAATGTGGCTAGGCAGAATTCCAGACTCCTTAACCATGCCCTTCATCCAAGTAGTAACCAGTCTCAACCATGCTTAGCCCTCAACAATAGACAAGATCAGGTGCCTTCAGGGTGGTATGGCTGTGAACTCCTTAACTATCTCTCAGTTCTCTTTGCTACTGAGAACATTGCTACAGAAGCTCCATATTCTGTGCCATCCCCAAGTCACATTTTCTTTCCTGTGCTTCTATACTATCTAGGTGGATATACCTAGAAAATGGGAAATGGGCTTGACAGTGCGTCCAAGGAATACCTACTGATTTTCACCAAGAGTAAGGACTCTAGAAATGAAAGAGAGGTAGACAAACAACTCTAGAGGAAAGTAAACAATAAAAGCCACTTTAAGTACCTCTCAAAACTAATAGCAAGAGAACAATTAATTGAAATACCAAATCTTTGGGAGGCTACTTAACAAAGGTGGCCTGAACTGGGTCAAGATGGAAGACACTGACAGTAAAATTCTTAGGGCAAATTGGTTAAGGAATTGGTCTAAGTGCCAATCTGACAGCTTTACAGTATCCTCCCTAACTTCTGTCATAGTTTTGGTGTTCAGGAGCTTAAAAATGGCATCATACAAAAAAGTCATTCATGGCTGTAAGCTCAATCATCAACAGAGGTAGTAAACAAAGGAACTCCTAAGAATAGATTTTAAAATGGATCGAAGTGTAACTATACATTCAAAACCCTAGAGCCATATAATTATCCTCAAAATGAACTGTTTTAATTTAAAAAGCTTAAAAACACAATGACAATGAAGCACTGATGTGCTTTAGGCACAGTCTCAAATCAGTGCCGACTTAAAGCTATGTCCTCTCTTTTCAAGAAAGAGAAAGCAGAGAACAGAGTTCAATCTACAGCGGGAAGGAGCAGAATGAAAATAACCAAACTGGTGCTGTCCAGCCGTTGAGTTCATACTTTGTTTTCAGGCCCCACCAATGGAAATTTGTATTCTTGAATTTTTTTCCTCAGAACACTTTTTTTTTTTTTTTTTTTGTTTTTTTGGAAGTGGGGTCCCCCTGGGCCCCCGGCTGCCCGGAAACCCCCTTTGTAGCCCGGGCGGGCCTTAACCCCACAGAGCCCCCCCTGCCTCTGCCTCCCAAGTGCTGGGACTACAGGCGTGCGCCACCATGCCCAGCAGAACACTTTTTTTTTTTTTTTTTTTGTTTTTTTGGAAGTGGGGTCCCCCTGGGCCCCCGGCTGCCCGGAAACCCCCTTTGTAGCCCGGGCGGGCCTTAACCCCACAGAGCCCCCCCTGCCTCTGCCTCCCAAGTGCTGGGACTACAGGCGTGCGCCACCATGCCCAGCAGAACACTTTTTTTTTTTTTTTTTTTGTTTTTTTGGAAGTGGGGTCCCCCTGGGCCCCCGGCTGCCCGGAAACCCCCTTTGTAGCCCGGGCGGGCCTTAACCCCACAGAGCCCCCCCTGCCTCTGCCTCCCAAGTGCTGGGACTACAGGCGTGCGCCACCATGCCCAGCAGAACACTTTTTTTTTTTTTTTTTTTGTTTTTTTGGAAGTGGGGTCCCCCTGGGCCCCCGGCTGCCCGGAAACCCCCTTTGTAGCCCGGGCGGGCCTTAACCCCACAGAGCCCCCCCTGCCTCTGCCTCCCAAGTGCTGGGACTACAGGCGTGCGCCACCATGCCCAGCAGAACACTTTTTTTTTTTTTTTTTTTGTTTTTTTGGAAGTGGGGTCCCCCTGGGCCCCCGGCTGCCCGGAAACCCCCTTTGTAGCCCGGGCGGGCCTTAACCCCACAGAGCCCCCCCTGCCTCTGCCTCCCAAGTGCTGGGACTACAGGCGTGCGCCACCATGCCCAGCAGAACACTTTTTTTTTTTTTTTTTTTTTTTAAACTGAAATCTTCTGAACAAGAGAAGTCCACATTTCCACAGCAGGAGAGTCACTTCTGTGCCACTTTTGTTTCTTCAGTGTGGGTCCTCCTTCCCTGAAAGTGCAAAGAGAGCAAGCCAACACTTGCAGGGCCTGCAGCCCCAGAACTATTTCAGCCACCTCTAGAGCTGGATGAAGGATTCGCTGCATTTGTGCTTCAAAGATCCGGCTCACTTTGACTGTCCTTTTCAGTTGGCAAACTGCTCATAAAAAGCAAACTTGATCCTCTCTATGTGATGGCAAAGCTTGATGGCAGGGCCCAGCTTTAAGTCCATGCACTCCTGAACAGTGGGAAGGGTAAGGAGCAAAAGGGCCTGCCCATCGATTTCCTGTTAAGGCATAAAGTAAAAATTGTCTATGATGTGCACATGAATGGCAGCTCAGTCATAACAGTCCCTACTCGCACTGTCACAACCACACTTCCTGTGCTTCCTTTCCCTTTGAACAAGTGGCATAGTCCTCCTTCCTAAGAAGCTTTCAGATAATAAAGTTGATAATAAAGTTTATCAAGCATGAGAATCTACAGAATTTCTATTCAGGAGAAATTCGATAATCTGGGGATCCCTATTAACTAGTAACTAATTGTATCCAAAGAAACATCTTTTTAGAGGGCTCTTTCTAAATTTAAAACTGCCTGAAAATATTAACTATAAACTTTAATGTTCTCCTCCTACTTTGTAACCTTCATAAAAACCTTCAAACATGTTCAGGCTTTTTTTTCTTGTTGTTTGTTTATGACACATGGTCTCACTGTGTAGGCCAGTCTGGTCTTCAATTCACTATGTAGCCCAGGTTGGCCTCCAACTTGTGAGCCTCTTACCTCAACTACCCAAGTGGTAGGATGACAGATAAGGCCATCATACATGTCCTACCACACCCAGAAAGATGCTGTTTTGAGCCTCTCCACTTATCTAAACAAAATTTATCTCAATATTTACTTAAGGCCATTGAACTGCATTTGTCTGTTTATGTGGTGCTAAGGCTCAAGCCCAAAGCCTTATGCATGCTAGGGAAGTCCTCTGAGCTACATCTTTTGCCTATTGTATCTGTTACATCAAATCTGTCTACCACTCTAGAGTGAACTGAAACAAAAAATATTCTTTAAAAAGATGAGATTAATTAATACAAGCTTGATTTCAAACCACCATTTAAATATTTGGAGGATAAAATTAAATTTTGAGTGAAAACAAGAATACAATAATCTTCAATTGTCATATGAATAACTTGTTTTTTAAATTTTTTGGTCTTTTTGAGACAGGATCTCCCTGCAGCCCAGGTTGGCCTGGAACACACATGTACATAGATCAGACTTGCCTAGATCTGCACCTCTGCCTCTTGAGTGGCATGTACCACCACAACATGCACATGAATTTTTTTTATCATCTGTTCTCCCTTGAAAAGGGAACTAAAACAATACTGCTCTTCTGGGTCAACATTTTAAAAAAAAAACTTATAAATTATTGTCTATTATATGCATAGTTCTTTGATAATGAGACATTTTTATTGTATTAATCTGTGATTACCTGGTCTAGGAATATTCTCGCTAATGGTGCACAGTCAGTAGATCTAATGAACCGCACGACATCTGCCACACTCCACTTCAGCGGGTTACTGTCCAGGTGAAGCCTTTCATCAACTTCAATCCTTATTTCCTTCAATCCAACAACAAAATCAAACCAGATGGTGTAAGGGTGATCATATCCTAAAAATGTCTCCCCACAGAATTCAATAATCCTTTTAAAAAATATTTTATTATTTTAATTTTACGTGTATGACTGTATTGCCTGCACATATGTAAGTGCACCCGTGTTGTGCAATGCTGCAGAGGTCAGAAGAGGGCTTCGGATTCCCCTGGAACTGGAGTTAAGGCTGGTTCGTAGCCACCATGTGGGTGCTGAGAATCGAACCCAGGTCCTCTGCAAGAGCAGTCAGTGCTCTTAACCACTGAGCCATCTATCCAGCCCCTCAATAATCCTTTAAGACAGGATTTAAAGTAGTTTTAGACCCTCTTCCCTCTCCCCACCACCCTGACTCAATTCTTCCAGTAAAGAACAATGGCAAGAGGCTCACATGTATTAGGTATTTGGGAATTATATTTATTTATTTTTATAAATTTCATTTATTATTTTTATTTTATGTGTATGCAGATCCCCTGGGACTAGAGTTATGGACAGTTGTTAGCTGCCATGTGGGTGCTGGGATTCAAACCCGGGTCTTCTGCAAGAACAGCCAGTGTTCTTAACTGCTGAGCCATCTCTCCAGCTCCGGTATTTGGGAATTAAAAAAAATTTTTTTATTTATTATTTTTATGTGTATGAGTATATTGCCTGCACATGTGTAAGTGCACCCATGCCGTGCAATATTTGGGATTTTTAAAGAAAAATCGTTTCTTATGTATTTATTGTCTCATAACATAACGTATCAATGAGGAAAAATTAACCTCGAAAATTTCTGAATAAATAGTTTTTGAGACAGGGTTTCATGTAGCCCAGGTTAGCCTTTAACCTCTGATTCTCCTGCTTCCATATCTCAAGTGCCGAGATTACAGGTGTATGGCACCACACCAGTTTTATGCTGTGCTGGGATCAAACTGAGGGCTTCATTCATGCTAGACAAACACTCTATAAACTAAGCCACATCCCCAGCTAAAACAATCATTTAATCATAGTCTTTATGTTACATGTCACATAATGTGCATATATGTACATACTAAATGTGCTAAACATGAAAATTTAAAGGGATAATTTGTATAATATAAATTTTGTATAATATATATAGAAAACTATATATATATTATACAAAATTATTTAAAAAGCAGTTTTCCTTAACGTAAATGATAGGCTAAAAGGAAATTAGCAATGAAACGTTTTTTTTTTTACTTAAAACAAGCAGCTTCTCTGAGACTATTCCCTCATAAATTGTCTCCAAACAATCATTGTAACACATGTGAATCACTGCTTTGGGGTTCATTTTACTTTCTTAAAATATGTTTTTCAAAATTTTATGTGCATGAGTATTTTGCTTGCATGTAAGTGTACCCATGTTGTGCAATGACCTCGGAAGTCAGAGAGGGCATTGGATCCCCTGGAACTGGAGTTAGACACAGTTGTTAGTTGCCATGTGGATGCTGGAAACTGAACCAAGGTCCTCTGCAAGAACAGCCAATGCTCTTAACTACTAAGCCATCTCTCTAGACCTACTTTATTTACTTATTTATTTTTTAAGATATGTGTGTGTGTGTGTGGTTTGTTTGTGAGTGTGTTTATACAGTTCCCACAGAGGCCAGAAGAAAGCCTCAGATTCCCTGGAACTGGAATTACAGGCAGTTGTGAGCTGTCTGACCATGGGCACTGGGAACTACACTCAGGTCCTCTAGAAGAGCAGAAAGCTCTTGTAACCACTGAGCCATCTCTCCAGCCCCCTGGTGATCACTTTGAAAGAGACTCCAGAAATTCTTCCTAAGCTTTTTTGTTTTTGTTTTTGAAAGAAGAATGCTAGCATCATTAACGATAGGTTATAGAGCGAAATTATAGAGAGGGGATATGACAAGAGACAAATTATTTTTAACATGGTACCTTTGGTGAAGGAGGTTTATTTTCATCATCAGAAAATGAAAAAGTGCGAAGCTCTCTTTTTCTCCTTTGTGTATCTGGGGGGACTGAGGTGGACACCTCACTTTGGGTCGGAGAAGAGGAACATGACTTTTTTTCTGACATTTCTGACTCTTCCTGTAACTCATCCTGTTGCTCAGATGTACTACCCTCACTTAGGGAATCATCATCTCCATCATCTGCATCATCCTCATCTTCACCTCCACTTCCCTACAGGAAAAGAAGAGAAATCTCATTGAAATTCAGGACTACAAAACCATCTATTAGCTAGAGACTGAAATTACAAATATGTGCAGGTATTACGTGTACACACTGTAAAGCAGTGGTCATTTGGCTTCTGGACACAACATATATATCACAGATCTCATACCTGGGGTGAGCCCACTGGAGTATTATCAACAGACGCAGAGGAACGTTTCTTCTTATGAACAAAAATATTTTTCCGCCTTTTTCTCCTCTTACTGGCTTTTTTCAGGGCACAAGCTAAATTACTATGGCCACCAGGTGGCCTCCCAATTCTTTTGTTTTTCTTCTTTCCATAATAGTGTGCTAAATATGGATGACCAAAAAGAGGGGAAAAAAAAAGTGGCTTCATTATTGTTGTGTACCTCAAAACCACAAGATTCTACTAGCATAGCAAAAATCAGGAGTATGTTTGCAGTTTAAATTACATACAGTGGAATAAGCAGATAAATACGTAACTGATTTGTACTAACAGGTAAAATTCTGAATAATCCTAACTCTATCTAGACAAAGAACATCTCCATTAATCCAGAAAGTTCTCAGGGTCCCCAGTCATTGTCTTGTAGAGCAACCAGTATTCCAATTTCCTTCACTACAGATTAAGCTTGTCTCTACAGAACCATACAGTAGTACTGTTCTGTATATAGGCTTCTTTCATACAATGTAGTGTTTCTGAGTTTTATGTATGCTATTTTATATATAAGTAGTTCATTCCTTTATGCTGGTGAATAGGATTCTATTGTGTAAATGTACCAGTTTCTCTATCTTGCTACTGATAAACACTTGGGCTATTTCCAAGTGTTAACTATAATTAATAAACTTGTAATAAACAATCTTTTTCTGTTAGTAATAAACATTCTTGTACAAACATTCTTGTACAAAGCTCTTAATGGATGTGTCATCATTGCTTTACATAAAAACTCATGATTAAATTGCTGGATCATAGATGTGTTAGACAATTTAGTGTGTATAAGTTTCCCATTGTAGTTTTTTTAGGGGGTTGGAGAGATGGCTCGGCGGTTAAGAGCATTGACTGCTCTTGCAGAGGACCTAAGTTTGATTCCCAGCACCCACATGGTGGCTATGAACTGTCCTTAACTCCAGTTCCAGGGGAATACAAAGCCCTCTTCTGACCTCCGCGGCATTGCACAACACGGGTGCACTCACTTACATGCAGGCAATATACTCATACACATTAAATAAAAATGAAAAAATATTTTTTTAAATTTCCTGTTTTTTAAAAAATAATAATTGCACATATTTATGGGGTACACCATGACACTGCAATATAGATGTATATAATGTGCAATAATTACACCAGGGTGACGAATATAACCATTACTTTAAACATTTATAATTTTTTGTATCAGGGAAATCCAAAATCCTCTCTGCTAGCTATTCTGAAATATAATTAAATGTGGCCAACCATAGATATACTACTATGCTATAAAACATTAAAAGTTAGCTTTCCAGATCTCTGCAGCTTGCTGATCAGTCAGTCTAGACTAGCTGATGAGCTCCTTTGCTTCAAAGGAGCTGGATGGCATTCCTGAGCATCCTCAGGCCCTTGTTCTGTGGCCTCTATTCATATCCAAGCATAGGTATACTACGCACACACACACATGCAAACGCGCATGTGCGCACACCCTGTGCTGGTTAGTTTTTGCCAACCTGACACAAACTAGAGTCACCTAGGAAGAAGGAATCTCAATTGAGGAATTTCTTCCATTAGATTGGCCTGTCGACATGAATGTGAGGCATTCCAATTGTTAATTGGAAAAGGAAGGCCCAGCCCACTGTTGGGATGTCATGCCTGGGCATGTGGTCTTGGTGTTGTATAAGTAGCTGAGCCGGGGGAGCAAGCCAGTGAGCAGCATTCCTCCATGGTCTCTGCTTCACTTCCTACCTCTCCTGCTAAGAGTTCCCATCTTGGCTTCCATCAGTGATGGATTATGATGGGGATGTATAAACTGAATAAAACCTTTCCTCCCCAAGTTGGTTTGGTCAGTGTTTTATTGCAGCAATAGAAAGTAAGCAAGCTAGAACCTATCAGCACACAAAACTCACACATATTTTTTAAAAAGTTATCCCTGGTCTGGAAAGATAGCTTAGAGGTTGAGAGCACTGGCTGTTCTTGCAGAGAACCCAGGTTTGATTCCCAGCACCCACATGGCTGCTAACAACTGTTCTTAACTCCAGATCCAGGGGATCCGACATCCTCTTCTGTCCTCCGAGAGAACTGCATGACATGGTGCACTTACATACATGCAGGCAGTACACTCACAAACATCACATAATAATAATATTTTAACAAGTTTCCCCTGCAATCCAATTGCACTGCTGTGCCCATCAACCACCCTCCTCTCTATTCCCCCATCCTGTATACCCTTCCCGGGCTACAATTACCATTATTCTATGCATGATTTTAGCTTCCACATATAAACGAGGATATGCACTACTTTTTTTGGGGGGAGGTCTTTTTGAGACAGGGTCTCCCTGTAGCCTCAGCTGGCCTGGACTCGCTATGGAGACCAGGTCATCTTTGATCTCACAGAGATCCGTCTGCCTCTGCCTCTAGAGTGCTGAGATTAAAGGCACACACCACCATGCCCAGCAATACTTTGTTTTCAAAAGATTAAAAAAATTTTGTGTGTGTATGAGTGCTTTGCCTTATATGTACGTACGTGAACCACATGTGTATAGTGCCTGCAGAAGACAGTGTTGAATGCCCTAGAACTGAGCTTATAGTCAGTTGTGAGTTGCCATGTGGATGCCCAACCCAAACCCTCTGCGAGAGTAGCAGATGCTCTTAACCACTGAACCATCTCTTCAACCCTCTGCAGTATTTTTCTTTTTGTGTCTGACTTATTTTACTTATAATATTCTTCAGTCTTATCCATGTTACTATGAATCTTAAAACTTCATTTCCCAGGAGGCTGAAGAGATGGCTCAGCGGTTTAGAACACTGGTTGTTCTTGCAGAAGACCCAGATTCAAATCCCAGCACTCACATGGCAGCTAACAACTGTCTATAACTCCAGTCCCAGGGAGATCCAACAGCCTCTTCTGACCTCCGCAGGCATTGCACGACATGGGTGCACTTACCTACATGCAGGCAATACATACATATACATAAAATAAAAATAATAGATTAAAAAAACTTCATTTCCCAGATAACTAATTATATTGTGCATGTTTTCATGTTTATAGCATATTTGCATATCTTCTAGGAAATGTTTGTGTAAGCCTTTTATTCACTGTTTAAAGCATACAATGACTATTTTAAATGTACAGTTCAGTGAGAGAATATTCAAATTGTCGAGCAACTACCAGTTCTGTATCATCTCAAAACTTCCTTTTTTATTACTGAGTTGTGGAGATGCATACTATATTCTGGAGATTCATAATAAATTCTGGAGAGAAGCTCTTTGCTGGATGCACTATTCTAAAACTATTCTATTAAGAATAGTTTTTCCAATACTGTGGCCTGTCTTTCTCTTTTTTAAAAAAAGTCATTATTCAAAGAGCAAAGTTCTCAATTTTGGTGATGTTTCATGTGTTTCCTTTACGTTAGCATATTTCTAGGTCCTCTCTAAGAAATACTTGCTTACTGTAAGGTCTTGAGACTTTCTCCTTGTTTTCTTCTAGAAACTTTATAGTTTTAGCTTTTATACTAGGCATCTGTAATAGGTCTTAAATTGACTTTTGTATATGGTATAAGGTAGGAGTGAAGGAGTTGGTTTTGTTTTTCTACTTGGACAACCACTAGTACCATTTGTTAATGAGTCCTTTCTTCATTGTCACCCTTGAAATCATTTGATCATAAAAATTTGACTCTATTTCTAGATCTGCTACTATGACCCACCCCTTCATTTTACTACTCTTTTAATATCTTTGAATACAAAATAATATTACTTATTAAAATAATTATTAATCAATAATCTTTGAATTATTGTAATTTTCTTTATGGTTTCTAATAAAGGCAGAAAGTAAGTACTTCAATTTTATTCTTTTCTCAGGATTAAAAAGTTTGGGGCAGGGAGTGGTGGTGCACTTCATTAACACCAGCAGTTAGGAAACAGACACTGGCAGATCTCTGTGCATTTGAGGTCAGCCTGGTCTACATAGTGAGTTCCAGGCCAGCCAGGGCAACATAGTTAAGACCCTATCTTAAAAAAACAAAAGGTGGCCGGGCGTTGTGGCACATGCCTGTAGTCCCAGCACGTGGGAGGCAGAGGAGGCGGATCTCTGTGAGTTCAAGGCCAGCCTGGTCTACATAGTGAGTTCCAGGACAGCTGGGGCCACAGGGAGACCTTGCTTCAAAAAGACCGGAAAAAAAAAAAAAGTTGGATTATTCTAAATACTTTTTATATTTCCTTAAATTTTAGAATATAGAGACAAAAACATGAAACAGCTGGCATGGTGGTATATGCCTATAATTCCAGTAACTAGGAGGATGGAGGGTTTGAGGTTAAGTATAGGCTACAAAATGAGTTCTAGGCATCTGGGCTACACTAAGACCCTGTTTCAAAACAAGAGCTGGGCATGATACCACACATCTGGGCTATTTAGTGAGACCCTGTTTCAAAATAAAAATCAACAAAAAAACCCCTAACCCCCCAATAACATAAAGCAAGCAAACAAACAAGCAAAAAAAAGAGGGTTTGGAATGTAGCTCAGTGGCAGAATGCTTCCCTAGAGTACATGAGGCCCTAGGTTCAACCCTCAATACCAAAACAAGACAAAACAAAACAAGGCAAAACAAGATTTCAGGAGTGGTAGTACATGACTGTAATTCCAGCACTTGGGAGGCAGCAGCAGGAAGATAACTACAAGTTCAAGGTCATCCTGGTAGCTCAGTTGGTAGAGTGCTTGCCTAGTATATATATAATGCCCTGACACTGCATAAACTGGATGTGATGGAACGTGCCTGTGATCCTAGCACTTGTGAGGTAGAGGCAGAAGGATCAGTAGTTCAAGGCCTGGACTACAGGAGACCCTGTTCCAAAACAAAACAAAGACACAGACACACGGGGAAAAAACATATTTGATTATGTATTAAAGTATTATAAAAATCCAACATAATTATCTATAAAAATGAATTTCTTTTTCTTAGGTCTTCTATTTTTTAAAGCTTTAAAAAAAATAAAATATGGGCTGGAGAGATGGCTCAGCAATTACAAGCACTGCCTATTCTTGCAGAGGACCTGGATTCGATTCCCAGAACCTACATGGTGGCTAACAGCCATCCATTACTATAGTTCCAAGGAATACAATGCTCTCTTCTGGTTCCTCAGGCATTGAACACACATATGCACTTACACATGTCTGCAATACACAAACATATAAAAATAAAGTACAATAAAACAAAAAGAAAAGACTATGTTATAGAGCTCATACGGCCCACAGTATACTCATTATCTGATTCTTACAGAAAGACTTGTACTTAATGCTGTATATGTGTGTCTGCACAGGATGTACGATATGGCCACTGCTAACAGTTAAAACATCTGAAAAATGTGACTCACTGTATTTGGTCTTTGTAAGTACCGAGCAGTTCTCAGAACAAGTATCCAGAACCATCTGTGGACCAAAGAGGTTAGGACAACATTCCAGTTTGATACACGTTTGCCGGCAGAATTCAGTCACCCGATCTGCTGTTTTCACTATCTCAACAGTAGCTCGATAACTCTTCCCTTTATATCTGCAATTAGAAGATATCAGATGTCAAATTTATTCTACCAGTGAAACAGTCATATGCCCCAAAATAGTTTTACTTCTTAGAATAGTCTGTGTCCTTCATAGCTTAAAGATTCTTAAAACAGTAAGTTTTACAGTCTGTACTTAAATCTGGTAAGCTATGACAACAAAAAATTGAGTTATTTAAACTAGAAGGACAAAGCCCCTGCTTTCTGTTCCCAGGTCAAAGTATTTATTACAGAGATCAAACTCAGGAGCCTCAAGCACGCTAATGGAAACACTCTACAAGTGTCCCCTCCTCAAAGATTTTTAAATACTAATTTTACCGAATACTAGAAAAGAAAAGCAGTTATCCATTAAGTCTTCCTTTATCCTGAACAGTGATCCTTAAGAGTGTGGTTCAAGGACAGAATGACCTGCCAACTGTTAGCCACCCATGGAAAATTCAGATCAGAAAGCAACAGCGAATGTTTGTAAACTTTCACAGTAGTTTTAAAACACAATTTTATACATCTTTAATAAAAAGTGTTCTTGCATTTTTATGTCTTTTGACATTCATAGCCTGGTCCTTTACCACATGCAGTTGGAGCAGCACTGCTCTAAGAAACAGACTGTTTTGTGACCTGTGAAAGAGTAAAGGGCGAGGGACTCCACTCACTTGGCCTTTAGGACTTCCCCGCATCCATGCCATACAGAATCTTTGTCCAGTTGCAGCTCACGAAGGACACGGCTGGGTTTATAGGCTGCATTGATAAGTAAAGTGAGGACCTGAGTTCAGTTTTGAAGAAGAAATATAGGTTTGGAAGGAAGGAGAAAAGCAGACCATTAGAACCATGGTACTTGTGGTATCCCTGAGACCGTTAAGGCAAGCTTGGTGATTAATTCTAGTCATGTTAAGAATGTTAACAAAATAATAAAATGAAAAATATGGAAGTTGCCCAAAGTTGTAAACAAAAGAGTAACCAGATCCTTTTAAACATTCTCAATGTTAATGATCAGGTAAAAATAAGCACTACAGACCTCAAAGTACTCCAGCGTGTACTCCAAATGCTTCCCAGTATGCTGCACACAGACAATTCTATTTGTTTGGGTCATTATACAGTCATTGAGCCTTCTTATAGCTAGAAGAGTCTGGTCTAAAAGCTCTATCTTCCTTAGACTCTGCCCTGCACTCTGAAGGCTGAGTCCTCAAAAATGTTACCTACTGACTGAAGGTGCTGAAAGTCTGACAAACTCAGGCCAGGTGTGGTGGTGCATGCCTTTAATCCCAGTAGTCAGGAGACAGAGGCAGTTGGTTTTCCAGATTTGAGTTCAAGGCCAGCCTGGTCTACACAGTGAGTTCTAGGCCATTTGGGGCTACAAGGAGACCATGTCTCAAAAAGACAAAAAGAAAAGAAAAAAAAAAAAAGTCTGTCAGACTCATAGCTTGTTAATGCCACACAACCTGTTAAGTTGTAGACTAATCTCACAGTGAACTTTTTTTCAAAACATAGACTCTCACTGGCCTTGAATTCATAATTCTCCTGCCTCGGTCTCCTGAGTGTTAGAATTTCAGGTGTGTACCATAGCATCTGACTTTTTAGTTTCCTCTATACAGAGTTCATGTGGTCTCTGAAAGAACACCTTTTTAAACAGAGAGGTAAACCCATGTGAAGAATTTAGACAAATGTTCCCTTAGGAGTAGAAATAGTCATGTGTCAACATGCTGTGTAGAATAGTAGTACCCAACCTTATCTGTGATTTTGTGTTCTAAACTTCAGTCACCTATGGTCCATAGTGGTTCCATAATACTAAATGGAAAATTCCAGAAATAGTTCACAAATTTTGAACTGCACACCATTCTGAGAGTAGCCTAATGAAATCTTGCTCCATCTTGCCTAGAGATATGAATCATTCCTTTGTCCAGTGTGGCCATGTCGTACACATTACCCACTTGTCAGTCTCTTAGTAGCTGTGCCAGTGCTCACCGCTCAAGCAATCCTAAAAGTAGCCTAATGTCCTATCACTTATTTCCACTTCACCTCATTGCATAGGCATTGATCTGATCTCACATTGTAACAAGTAGAAGAGTGAATATATCACAATAAGTTATTGTAAAAGACCACATTCTATTTTTATTACAGTAATTGTTATATTTTTCTACTTTGTTACTAGTTGTTGTTGTTAATCTCTTACCTTGTTGAATTTATGAATTAAGTTTTATCGTGTGATGGTTTGAACATAATTTGAATGTGTTCCCCAAAAGTTTGTGTCAGAAGCCTGGTTCCCAGCATGATGGATATGGGATCCTTAAGAGGTGAGGCTTACTGGGAGGCTGTGATGGATAGTTTTAATGGTCAACTTGACACAATTTGACCTGGGAGGGGGTCCCAATGAGGAACTGTTTAGATTAGTTGGCCTGTGGGCATGTTTATGGGGAATTGTCTTGATTTTGTTAATGTGTAAGGACCTACCTAAAAGGGGGTGGCACCATTCCCTGGGTTTGGGTCCTAGGCTATATAAAAAAGGAGAACTTGAGCTCAGCGCAACCATGCATGCATGCATTCACTTCTCTGCTCTTGACTGTGGATGTGATGTGATTAGGTGATTCAAGTCTCTGCTGCCTTGACTTCACAATAATTCTATAACCTGGTAACTTATGAGCCAAATAAGGCTTTCCTCCCTTCAGCTGTTTTTGTCTGAGGGTTTTATCACAACAACAGGAAATGAAACTAGGACAGAGGCTCTTAGATCAATTGGTAGAAGGACCTCAGAGGGGATGGTAGGTCTCCAGTCTCTCTCAAGCTTCTTCTCTGGCAACATGATCTCTTTTGCACATGTGGTTCTCACTATGATGTGACACAGCCACAAGGACTCTCACCAGAGGCCAAATTGATGGAATACCAGTTCTTGAACTTACTCTAAAACTGTGAACTAAATAAACCTTTTTCTTCATAATGAGCTTCTCTCAGACGTTTTGTTGTAACAAAGAAAGTACTAATACAATGGGTATATACAGGAAAAAACATCTATAATGTTTGCTACTAGCCACATCTAGATGTTGCCTGAAAGCTTAAAATTGTATCCCCCATGGATAAGATGGGACATACATAACAAAAAGCTGTCACATCTATGCCATGTGGTTCTCTATATGAGTAAGCCTAGGAGACTAGGGTGAAATTTCCAAGTCTGCTCTAGGCCAGAACCTTACCTCTCTAAGGACCAGAACACAGTTCCCAGGTCCTACACACTGAGGCAGCTCAGCAATTCGTCCCTTGTTAAGATAGGGCCCTGAGAAGCAGCGGTGGTTGAAGTATATCTTTGGACAGCAGTATTTTCCATTAAACATCACTAGGAAATGAGGAAACAAAGGTATTCAGAACAGTCATTCTTTCTCCACTCCAAATTTCCAAAGCTGAGTTGGGGGTGGCAATCAGGCATATACACCATTATATAAGTACTGGAATTACTTTTTAAAAAAAAATTTATTTATTTATTTATTTATTTATTTATTTATTTATACCCTCCCATAGCCTCCCTCCCCCCACTAGAGCCCTTATACTCAGGCTGGCCTCGAACTCACAAAGATCCGCCTGCCTCTGCCTCCCAAGTGCTGGGATTAAAGGCGTGCACCACCACACCCGGCTTATTTATTATTTCTATGTGTATGAGTGTATTACCTGCATGTATGTGAGTGCACCTGTGTCATGCAATGCTGTGGAAGTCAGAAGAGGGCTTCAATTTCCTCTGGAACTGGAGTTAAGGATGGGTTGTAGCCGCCATGTGAGTGCTGGGAATCGAACCTGGGTCCTCTACAAGAGCAGTTAGTGTTCTTAACTGCTCAGCCATCTCACCAGCCCCACTTTTTTTTTTTTCTTTTTGGTCTTTTTGAAACAGGGTCTCCCTGTAGCCCCAGCCAGTCTAGAATTCGCTATGTAGACCAGGCTGGCTTTGAACTCACAGAGATCCACCTGCCTCTGCCTCCCGAGTGCTGGGACTACAGGTGTGCTGGAATTACTTTCTATTTTCTGAATGTAAGGAAGGGCCTTATACATGCTAAGCAAGCATCCAGTCATGGAACTATATACTAAAGCTTAGCATACTGTCTGAAAATACTTTTGAATACTTTGGATTTACTTAATACTAGCTTACAGAGTTTATCAATGTCCTGAATTACATGCTGATTAACTCCTGAGTAATGTGATAGTACTCTAGAGCCCCATGCTTCTAATGACAAAGGCCCTATGAACCCTTGAGTCTTGATGATGATCAATGATTTCCTTTCTACTCCTCAAAAAAAGTAAACTATTCAGGGGCTGGAGAGATGGCTCAGCAGTTAAGAATACTGGCTGCTCTTGTACAGGACATGGGTTTGATTCCCAGCACCCACATGGCAGCTAACAACCGTCCATAACTCCAGTTCCAATACCTCTTCTGACCTTTGCGGGCATTGCACAACACAGGGATACTTACACACATAAAGGCAATATGCTCATAAACATAAAACAAAAATAATAAATAAAACATTGTTTAAAAACAAAAAAATCAACTATTCAATAATTTATTCTGAAACACTAGTAGGGACAGATGTTGAATATTATCCAGATTTACAGTTTGTCTCCTAAACCCCATCAAATAGGGCTGGGTGTAGTGGCACAAGCTTTTAATTCCAGCAGTTGAGAGGCAGGTGGATCTCTGTGAGTTCAAGGCCATCCTGATCTATATAGTAAGTTCCAAGCTAGCTGGGGCTACAGGGAAGCCCTGCCTCAAAAAGACTAAAAACAAAACAAAACCCACCAAATAAAGCTGGCAGATTTAATGCTGTGGGAGCTCTTCTATCTCAAGATTCCTCAGAAGACTAGGATCTACATATGTATGTATACTGCCTATTGCTGATAGAACCCTCAGGTTTATAATGCTCTCTCTTTACTTAAGAATGTGGTCTATTCCAGGGATCAGAGACTGAGGCAAGAGGATCACAAGTTTGAGATCAATCGGTCTCAAAAACAAAGAATACAGTCTTAAGCCAGGCATGGTGGCACATGCCTATAATCTCAGCACCTAACTAGGATGCTGAAGCAGGAAAAATGTTAGTCTAAAGCCAGCCTGGGCTAAATAATAACAGCTTGCTGAGAGAAAAGAAGAGAGGGGAAGGATGGGGGAGAGAGGAGAAAGAAGTATGAAAGGAAGAAAATCAGAACTGCTCAGAGCCAAAATTGAAGTAGAGCAGCCATGCATGAAGAATTATCAGTACCTAGTGAAAAAAGATGGCCACCATAATTGAATTAAAGAAAGCTCCATGTAGCTACAGTGGCTCCAATGCTCCCTGTGAGACTAGAAGAAATATCTGCTGAACTGTATCACAGTTCAACTTCTTGCCGACTCCTGCATACAAAAAGTCAGAGTTTTGGACTTTTCCCCAGAGAATCTGGTAGTATATAACAAAATCAAAACCAAAATGCCTTGGCTGAGGTCACATAGGAGATGCTAATATCTTAATTCTGTAGTTTTAGCAGGCATTAGAATGGTCACCAATTCATCAAAAATGAGTTAACACAACCCTGATCCTCTGGGTATAGATAATACAATGAGAAGCTAGTAAGTGGAAGAGACAAAAGTTCTGTTTCTGGCCCTTCTACTCATAAGCTCTCAGAACCCTGAATTCTTTTCTAGGCATTTACTAAATACCACCTGAATGCCAAATCTGTGCTAGAACATACACAGCTAAAATGCTAAGAATTACACAGCCTGCGCAAGGGTAGTTAAGAGTAGAGACACTGAACAAAATATGATCCTCCAGCAAGGATTCTTGTCTCATTTAATAACCATTACCTCTGGGTCAATCATAAATCCAGTGTTTTAAGTTTTTAACTGTGAAATATATATATATATATAATGTAGATCATAACAAGGATTCTCTTTAAGAGAATAAACCCCCACATCTCAAGTACCTATCCTAAGAGAGCACTGTCTCATAGTCATCTAAAGCCAAGGATGAAGACATCAAACTCCAGAGTCCTTGACACACAATAGAAAATCCCTAAAGTATAGCTGTAAGGTAGGCCTGGCAGTACCTGCCTATAATCCCAGCAGATGGAGGATAGAGGTAGAATCAGGAATTTAAAGTCATTTTTGGCTACACAGTGAATTCAAGGCCATCCAGGGCTGCATGAGACTCTGTTAGGAGGAGAAAGAGCAGCAACAGCCACAAAGCAATTAAATATCCACAAAACATGGCCACACCATAGACAGTTCTACTGTCACAATAGGCTGCTCCTCTATGAAACCACAATTAATAATTCAAATGTATAGTTGTCCAATTTTTCATTTTTCTTTCCTGGCTCTTTTGAGACAGTCTCACTATGTAGTCCTGGATAGTCTAGAACTCAATGCCTTGAACTTAAGGCAATCCTCCTGCTTCTGTCTCACAGTGAAGAGATTACAGGCATGTACCACCACACCAGACTCAAGTGTATTTTTGATTTTCAGATATAGCCCATTAAAAGGTAACTAAAGGTCTTCTTTTCCACAAGATCATAAATACTTATACCTGAGTTTGTGGAGTTCAGCTCCTGATTCTTCAGGCCCTCGCGGACAGTTCTTGAGGATAGTACTCTGAGCCAAGAAAACAAAGCAAAATAGTGAGATTACCCCCTAAAATCATCAAAGCCTGAGAGTTAGTTTCCTTTAAATCTAAGAAAAAAAGCAAATGTGTCAGGTTTTAAATGTAAAATAGAATCCCCTACCCTTATTAACCACTATTTAAAAAAAAAACAGCAATTTTTATTAAAACTATGTACAGGGACAAATGATCCAATAGTCTGGAGACAGTGTCATCTACATATTCAGAAATTATAAATCTATATTATAAAATTTTTAAATTTCTTGTGGGATTTTTGTGGGGTTTTTTGAGACAGGGTTTTGCTACATAGTTCTGGCTGATCTGGTACTCACATGAGCCAAGGATGGCCTCAAACTCATGGCAACCCTCCTGCCTTAGCTTCCCAAGCACTAGGATTACAAGCATGTGCCACCATGCCTGGATTCTTGTGAGATTTTTAAGTAAGCTATCCATTTTTTCAAGTTGCAGAACAGAGACATTTCTCTTGTGTCTGGAGGGGTCAATCTCAGTAGGTTCCTTAGGCACAGTCCACTTTTTTTTTCAATGTGTATTGAGTGTTTTGCCTGCATGTATATAAGTATACTACATGCATGCAATGCTTACAGAGGCCAGAAGAGGTTGTTTGATACCCTGGAACTGGAGTTGCAGATGTTAGCCACCATATGGTGTTGGAACTGAACCTGGGTTCCCTGCAAGAGCAGTTAGTTCTCTTAACTACTAAGCCATTTCTCCAGCTCATCCACCTTATTATTGGACATGAGGTCTCTTACTAGGACCTGGGCAGATTCAGCTATATTCTTTGGCCAGCAAGCTCCAGAGATCTACTTGTTTCCATCTCTCCAGGAATTGTATTACAGGAGCATGCCACCATGCCAACTTTTTAAATATGGGTGCTGGGAATCAAACTCAATTCCTCATGGTTGAACAGTAAGCACTTTACAACTGAGTTATTTCCTCATCCCCTAGAAACATTCTTATAAGGGTCTCCCAGAAATGTCAAAATAAAAAAAATTATTAAAAATATTAAAGATGCATTCTACATGGAATGATCCTTGAAATCTTTAGATCTCTTTAGAATGCTTCATGACTAAAGCTTTGCATTGGTCTTAGCAACTAAGACAAGGAAACATCTAAGAGTAGTTCTTTATTACTGCTATCTCATTCATATACCTGGGTATAAAATTCTACGGCCCTCTATTCACTTCTATTGTTAGTTTTATTACCCACATAGTTACAAAGGTAGCTACAATTGATGTATTAGGTCATTATAGAAGTTTCTACAGATGGAACTATGTCCCTCAAAATTAATTTGTTAACCCTAACCTTGTATTTGAAGATCAGGCTTTTGAGAGGTAATGAAGACTAAAGTCCTAGGGGTAGGGCCATAATCTGACAGGACTGCTGGCCTTATAAGAAGAAGGGGAGGACATGGAGAGGAGGAAGGCAGAGAGAGATTTTTCACTATGTGAGGACCCAACTAGAAAGTGGCCATCAGTAGGCCAGGTAGCAAGGTCTTAGGAATGATCAAATCAACTGATATTTTGACCTGAAGATTTCTCAGCTTCTAGAATATGAGAAAAATAGCTTCTGTGGTTTACATCATCCATTCTGTGGTGTTTTGTTATGGCAGCTTAATCAGACTAATACTTCAGAACTTTATATAAAGAAACTTCTGTATTATTAAGACATAAGATACCATCAATTCACTGCTTCTCAAAGGCTGTATGTGAAAGCATGCTACAAAGTTTCCTGACAAGTGCAAAGGAGGACTATATGTTTGCTTTCAGAGTCGCTGTCTTCTATATCAAGATATTGTAATAAACTATTTCCTGACAATATTTTTTCTTCTTTCACAAATACTTCCCTTTTTAAATTCAAATGCTTTCAAGATCTAAAAGTGAAAGAAAACTCAATTTGGAGAACACCTTGAGAATACATTTGCCTCTTGTATATAATACGGAATTTTTATTTTGAGACAGTGTCTTTTTATACATCCTAGGCTGGCCTGAAACTCACTATATAACCCAGGTCTGCCTTGAACTCTTTCTGCCTCAGCCTTCCAAGTGGCTAGGATTACAGGTATATGCCATCATGCCTGGATTCATAATGCACTTTTAGAAAAGCATATACTGTAGGGAGAAATACATAAATTATCAAATTAAACTTAAAATATCATGCTTCTATCCAAGAAAGTAACACAGAGGAAATATATTCTTTTAAATAGCTATGCTTTCCTTAGATATTCTAATTTTCAAACTTGAACTATTTAGATATCCTGTTATATTACTTACTGTTTTTCTGGTTGAACAACTGCAATTTTTCTCTGTTTATGTACTGTAAGAAGAGGAAAAAAATGTCAAAAGGCCAAAGGGAAATTACACACACACACACACACACACACACACACACACATGTATTTAAAACTAAGCAATGTTTTCCTGGGTTGGCATCTCTCTAGAAGGAACAAAAATAGTATTTCCAAGGCTCCTTAGGCTAATCAATGCCTACAAATATTTTCCAATAAAAACAGATACTGAAAAGAAAAACTGATTTGGCAAAGGTGCTAGGACTATTTAATGGAGAAGGGATAGTATTCAACAAACGATGCGAGGAAAACAAAATAGCTACATGTATGAAGCTAGACTCTTAATTTACATCATATATAAAAATGAAAGTAAATATCTAAAGATAGAGATAAAACTACAACACTCTTGCCGGGCGTGGTGGCACACACCTTTAATCCCAGCACTCGGGAGGCAGAAGCAGGCGGATCTCTGTGAGTTCAAGGCCAGCCTGGTCTACATAGTGAGTTCCAGGACAGCTGGGGCTACAGGGAGACCCTGTCTCAAAAAGACAAAACAAAACAAAACAACTACAAAACTCTTACATATGAGAAAAAGTTCATTGCATTAGATTTGTCAATTACTTCTTAAATATCACACGTAGAGCAGAGGCAATAAAAGAACAAAACAGTTAAATTGGGCTACATTAAAATTAAAAACTTGTGCTGGGTGTGGCAGTACACACCTTTAATTCAGGAAACAGAAGCAAGTGGATCTCTATGAGTTCAAGGCCAGCTTGGTCTACACAGTGAGTTCCAGGACAGCCAGGGTATGTAGTGAGACCTTGTCTCAAATAAATAAGTAAATAAACAAACAAATAAATAAATAATAAAAGGTTATGTATAAAAACAGAATGAAGGATTGGAGAGATGGCTCAGTGTGTAATGTCTGCCACCAAGGCTGATGACCTGAGTTTGGTCTCTACAACTCACACAGTGAAAGGAAAGAACTGACTCCCATAGGTTGTTCCTTGACTTCTACATGCACATAGCAGCATGAATATATGTGTGCTTGTGACACATACCCATACACACCCACACCAAAAAAATTGTAAATTTTTGAAAAGAGAGTGAAAAACTAATACACAAAATGAGAGAAAATCATTCCAAGGCATCTATCTAATAAGAGATTAATATTTAGAAGATACCAAAAACTACAACTCAATAATGAAAAGATAAATAACACAATTTAAAATGGGCAAAGAACTTAACATTTTTAAGATATATGACTGCCAATACACATGAAAAAATGCTAAAGATCACTAGTAATTAAGGAAATAATAAAACAAATGCCATTATGTAATAGCATTTCACATCCACTGGAATGGCTATCAACAAAGAAACAAAAACAAAAATAGAAGGTAAGTGTGAAGATATGCACCTGGAACCTCCCACATTGCTGATGGGGATGGAAAGTGATGCAGCTGCTCTGGAGAACAGTTTAGTATTCCCTCAAACTGTTAAACATAGAGTTATCATGCAGAAGCAATTCCATTCCTCAGCATATATGCAACAGAAATGAAGACATGTCAAAAAATTCATATACTACTGCTCACAGCAGCACTAGTCACATAAAAAACAATGGAAACAGCCAGGCGTGGTGGCACACACCTTTAATCTCAGCACTCAGTAGGTAGAGGCAGGTGGATCTCCCTGGTCTACATAGCTAGTGCCAGGCCAGCTGAGGCTACAGGGAGACTCTGTCTTAAAAAGACACCCCCCACCAAAAAGGACAAAAATCTCTTGTTCAATCTCTCTTGCTCTTTGGGTTCCTCAGTGTAATAGAAGCCAACTGCCATTACCTAAGCTGCCCTAAGAACATGTGATGCACTTACACATATGCAAGTAAAATATTCAGGCACTGCCTTTAATCCCAGCACTCGGGAGGCAGAGGCAGGTGGATCTCTGTGAGTTCAAGGCCAGCCTGGTCCATAGTGAGTTCCAGGACAGCTGGGGCTACAGGGAGACCCTGTCTCAAAAAGACCAAAAAAAAAAAAATACTCAGACACATAAAAATCAATAAATAAAAAAAATTTTTTAAAGAGATCCATTTGGCAAAGAACTATGGGAAGGCTTCAGCTAACAACCAGCAAAGTTCTGAGCTCCTTAGTCCAATAATCCATGAAAATGAATTCTTGCTACTGTCTGGCTGATTGTGCTCCCCAAATCATACTGAACCCTAACTACTACATTAGGAGATGAGGCATTTGGAAGGTGACTAGAAGATGAGGACAGACATTTCATCATGGGATTAGTAGCCCTGTTAAAAACACCCTTCAGAGTAGACTGCTTTAGAAAGTGGAGACATAGCAAGAGGGCCCCATTTATGAGACAGAAAACAGATCCTGTATCTACCAACACCTTATTCTTGAACTTTCCAGCCCCAATGATAATAGAAATATCACTTCTAGTATTTACGAACTACTAACCTTACAGAATTTTGTTATAGTAGCCAGAATGGACTAAGACAGTTCCCAATACTCATCTGAATAAACTTGGGAATTCCTCCCAGGTCAAGCCCTAAAATGATACTTGTCCTGGGAGAGTCCTTCATTATAGCCTCAGAATTTACCTAGTTGAGCCCAGACCTCTAAGATAATAAAAGTTTGTTGCAATAAATAATTGCCTATACAGAAATATTATCACATTGTAATTTTGTCTGAAATATCTAGATTCACCCTAACTGGTAGCATCCATCCATCATCATCATCATAATAATAATAATAGTAATAGTAATAAATCCTCTAATCCAGAAATAGACAAATACCTCGAGCCCGGCGAGGCATACCAAGAGGATAGCCATTGGTTTCACACCAGCCCAAAGGAAATATATCCATTGAATCCACACTTACAATAAATTCGGGTATAGGCTTCTTAGAACCTGTTAGATTAACAAAAATTAAAATTAAATACCTTGCTTATATTTTGGTCACATCAAAACATATGCCATTTTGACTTAACTTTCTAGAAAATAGGGATTTTATAGTAAAATGCTTTCAATGACTTTCATTTCCAAAATTTTAAAGCCAAGGACAAGAAAGTAAAATTTTAGCATAGATTTCAAATTTAACTTGCATTTCAAATTAGATCACCATTAATTAGTCTACTGAGTTTAACAAGCTACACTACAGGAAACTTCTCAGGGGTGCTGTCACCTACCCTCAAGCTGGAGCCACAAGTAGGAGCCTCTCACTGCAGTAATGGTGGCAATGCACACCTCTTCAGGGAGCAGAGGATTTACTGCCTCCAGCTTCATGTTCTCCTTAAACTCGTGCTCAGAAATTGACTAGAAGAAAACAAATGAATCAAACTCATTGACTAGACTAGCAGTCAATATTAATTCATGTGCTCAACTGGAAGACTTTTTTCAAGGAGTATTTAATCCCCAGGTCCACATTAAATCAATGAGTGTACTTTGTTCTGTTTTGTTTTAAAGGAAGTAAAGGGAAAAGTTTGTTTTCCTGATGGAATAGGCAGAATGGTCTTTAAGTCAGACACTCATGCATATTTGCTACATGGATGATGACCCTGTCAAACTGTGGACTCTATTTTGCCTCAGTTTCCTCACTGTCAGGGGGAATTGAGAACATCTATCAAGCTGGGTTATTAAAAATAGCAATGAAATAAGATCCCCTTTAGTGCTCTGTCTTGAATCAAGAGTCTTTCAACCATGACTGGTTCCCTCTCTCCCTCAGAGAGTACCATTATATCCTTGTATATGTAACATAAAGGGCAATTGGGCTGAAAAAAATGCTTATGAACAGGAGGAAACAAATTATAAAAAATTTTAGCTTCTGGCTCAAACTGAACAACTGAACATCTGCACCTGGTTGTTTTCCTTCCTGATAACTCATTAAAAGTTTGGGTTTTGGGCTTGGAGAGATGGCTCAGCAGTTAAGAGCACTAACTACTCTTGCAGAGGACCCGGGTTTGATTCCCAGCACCCACATGGCGGCTACGAACCATCCTTAACTCCAGTTCCAGGGGAATCCAAAGCCCTCTTCTGACCTCCGTGGCATTGCACAACACGGGTGCACTCACATACATGCAGGCGATACACTCATACACATAAAATAAAATTTTTTTAAAAAATATTTTTTAAAAGTTTGGGTTTTTTGCTCTGTTTTGTTTCCTTCTTGAAGATATACACCTAAGATGGTCTACAGAGCTTAGTGGGTAAAGGCACTTGTCAAGCCTGATGACCTGAATACAATCCCCAGAATCTACATGGTGGAAGGAGAGAACTGACTTCCACATGTGTTCTATGACATGTGCATGTGGGCATGAGCATTCACACACATGCGCGCGTGCGCGCGCACACACACACACACACACACACACACACTGTAAAATAAATAAAGCTATTGATAAAGATATAAACCTAACAGGATGTATGCAATAGGAAGGGAAACTAAGCTAGCATGTCAAAGAACCTAAGCTGGCAGTGAAGACTCTAAGGACCAGCAGAACCAGGACCTAGGCAACTGGAGGTCGAAGAGAAAGAGGCAAAACTAGATTCATCGGTTTCTCTATTTTGTTTTGGTTAAGACAAGGTCTCAAGTAGCTCAGGCTTGCTAACCTCTTAATTCTCATTGTAAAGCAAAGGATGACCTTGGACTCCTGGTCCTCCTGCTTCTACCTTCCAAGTGCTAGGATAACAGACATGAGCTACCACTCCTGGTTTATGCAGTGTTGGGGATCTAATTTGGGGTTTCATGCATGCTAGGCAAACACTTCAGAGATGATACTGACTGAGCTACATCCCCAGTTCCTGATTTTTTTTTAATAAAAAAAAATTTTTGGAGTGGGGCATGGTGGTGCACACCTTTAATCCCAGCACTTGGGAGGCAGAGACAGGCAGATCTCTGTTGAGTTCAAGACCAGCCTGGTCTACACAGTGAGTGCCAGGCCAGCTGGGAATACAGGGAGACCCTGTCTCAAAAAAAGACAAAGAAAAAGCTGGCCTTAAACTCAACAGAAATCCTCTTGTCTTTTTACAACCCTAGAATTAAATTAATTTATATAAATTAATTTTGAAAGTTCTGAATCAGTATATCCAATTTCAAGACTTATAATAGCTATAGAAATCAAAGCTGTGTAATATTGAAGGTGGGAAAAGAAGAGAACCCACAAATAGATCCACAAGTCATCTTTGATAAAAATGTAAAAGAATTCAATGGAAGGATGCACATGTATCACAACACTAGGTCTGAATCCAACCCTGGGAATTATTTTCATTGGACCACTGACAGTCCTAGAATACTGGACCCTTCCCTTGAGGACTTATACCTTTAAGAACATATCTCCTGATTCCAGCCCTGTTTCTTGACTAGTGTACCTCCCATTTAATCTGCACACATAGTCCAGGACATCTGGAACCAACGTGATAATCTTAAAATGGCTATGCATTCCAAGTGCATCTCAGCCACCAATATCACATAGGGGACATCACTGTGAAGAGACAACTCAACTGTCAGAAGTTTGTAAGTTCTTTCCACATTCCTCGTTATTATACTGTATGTAATGGACAACTGTTCAGCCTGCCTAGGAGACAGGACTCTTTGTCACTAGCCAGAGAGAGGCACTGGGAGTCTTCTGGATAGTCCATTTAGTTATATGAGCTGTTGAATATTTTATTTTTGTCTGTTTCACTCAGATATATTCTAAAGATCTAGTACCTATTGGACACTCAATAAATAATGGTGAGTTCGATGACTAAACCAGAATACTGAGTATATCTCACAGTATAATAGCAATTCTTCGCTGAAACCTGATAATGACAACAATAAACTATTTACTTAACTCCAAAAAAAAGTGTCTTTTAAACTCAACAACACTAAAAGGTGACAAGTAATACTTCTAAATTCTGAAGTAATAGCCAACCTAATTTTTGTATTAAGCTAAACTATGGATCAAGTCATTGGAATGAAATTTTCAATATTAGTGTCTATAAAAATTTTTACAGCTCTTGTCCTATGTTTCAGGAAGCTACTGAGTAATGGCAGCCCCATCAAAACAACCAAGGAAGGGACAGAAAAGATGGCTTCGTAAGAAAGGCAAATTGCTGGGAAAGCAAGAGGACCTAAGTTCACATCTTCAGTGCCCATGTAAAAGCTGGGCATGGCCGTGGATGCCTGTCCACCACTGGGAAGGGGGACAGAGATAAGTGGACCCCGGCAGCTCCAATCAGCCTGTCTGTGAGAGACCCTGTCTTAAAAAACTGTGGAAGCCAGGATTAGTGGTGCATGCCTTTAGTCCCAGCACTCAGGAGGCAGAGGCATGCAGATCTCTGTGCATTCAAAGCCAGCCTGGTCTACGTAGCGAGTTCCAGGCCAGCTGGGGCTACAGGGAGACCCTGTCTCAAGAAGACCAAAACAACAATGTGGAGAGAGATAGAGGAAGACACCCAGCATCTTCTTCTGGTCTCTGCATGTGCACATGCACACACACACACACACCCCCGCACACACACATGAACATATGCCCCCACATACACAAATGGCAACAAACCCCACATAAACCAAGGAAAGGTCATGAGATATGCAAATCAGGGGGCTCCAAATCATAAGAAAGGCAATTTCTTGGTTGACAAAATTACATGGTAAGGCTAGAAAGTAGCTTGTTCGGTGTGGGAGGACTTTTATAAAATGGACATAGTCTGGACTAATGACCTTAATTAACCGCAGCAAAACCATGTGCTCTTCTGTTTTGTGACCTGGGTACTTGATGTTGTTTCCTTGGCAACCTCAATTTGTTACTCACCAAAAAGATAATGAATTAATGTGGGTATGCTTGAGAATTAACATATCAAAGTGCTGAAAGAAGGCACACCCATTTCCACTGCACACAGTGAAGAGTCTTTTGACCTTGGGTGAATGAGATATTCTAGAACTAGAAATGAAAGGACTGGATGGTGGAGCCAAGCTTGTACTTCCCCAACTGAAGCTAGAGAAACCAGTTTGAATAAAATTATGGGTGGGGCCAGACTCAGGGACACAGTTCCAGAGACAGGATTCCAACAAGACAAATCCATCAGCACAGTTCCAGGAGACAGACTGTTCCAAGAGAAATCTGAGGGAATGAGAGTCTCCTGAGTTCAGGCCCACTCTTAAAAACTAAGAGTCAGGCCTTTTGTTCAGGTAATTATAATGGTGGTGTAGTGCCGCTGCAGTTCAGGGGGAGAAAAATATTAGGAATGATAATCTTAATGTGAACTGCCTTTATGGAAGTGGCAACAAGAGAGGACTGGAAGGTATGGGAAGAACTAGCAGTGGACACAAACAGATTAAACAAGTGACAGTGAAAATGCAACTATTATCACAACAAATGTTTTAAAAACGAAGCAATCATAAAATACTGCAGCAGTCAGCTGTGAAAGTTTGGATACATATAATGTAAAACTTGAAATTTAACCAAAAGTAAATGGGTAAGACAGAAGGGAAGGTAATGTAGACCAGCTAAGTGTTCATTTACTATAATATGCCATTCAACATGTTTCTAAAATTAATACTTCAAAAGAATGCAATATATTAATTTGAAAATATTGAAGCATAAATATAAGAACTACAGCAAGAAGAATAAGATGATGTAGTTACTTCTAGGAAGGGAGCACCTGCAAAAGGACGGACAGGCCTGTTACACATTCTAAGTTCTTACTGCTTTCTTGTTTTTGAGACAACGTCTTGTTATGCAAGTCAGGATGATCCCTGGTGCTCCTACTGCCTGAGTCTCCCAAGTGCTGGGAGTATAGGCACCACGCCTAGCTGTTATTTGGCTTGGTTTGCTTGGTTCTTGTTTTATTTGAGACAAGGTCTTGCTACACTACCCAAGCTGACCTAGAACTCACTGTGTTCCCCACACCAGACTTATGCACAACCACACCTGGCTTAAGTGTGACAGTTAACTATTTGGTCTTTTAAAACATGTTCATATATTATTTGGATAGGTGTATTTCTAATATTTTATTATTTATTTATGTTTATTTTATGTTTATGAGTGTAGTGCCTGCATGTGTGTAAGTGTACCCATGTCTGCCCAAGGACATCAGAAGAAGGCGTTGGATTCCCCTAGAACTGGAGTTATAGATGGTTGTTATCTGCCATGTGGCTGCTGGAATCAAACCTGGGTTCTCTGCGAGAACAGCCAGTGCTCTTAACCTCTGAACCATTTCTCTAGCCTCTAGATGTATTTTTAAATAAATGTAACACTTCTTTACTTAACATTTTTCATATAACTGAGTCACTTAATTATGAAATAAAATCTCAAGTTTGTACGAGTCTTAGCTAGTAAGAAAAAAAAAAGATACACTTGTAAAACTAATTTAATTAGCACACTACCCTCTGCAGTAAATGTATTTTTCTTTGGACTATTTTATTACAATCAACAAGGTGGTTATGTGGGCTAGAGAGATGGTTCAGCAGTACTGGCTACTCTTATAGAGGATCTGGGTTTGGTTCTTAGAACTCACAAGGTAGCTAACAGCAATCTGTAACTCTAGCTCCAGGGGATCCAATGCCCAAGACTGGCTTCTGTGGGCATTGCACACTCATGGTAAGCTTACATACACACAGGCAAAATGCTCATGTATATTTGAAAAAAAAAAAAAGAAAAAAACAGTCAAAAAAGAAAAATAAAGGCAGGAACAGTATACCCCACCGCTCTGAAGCAGTGTTGTGAGGTGTTCTTACCGGAGGAAAGCACTTTTGGGGAGCAGCTTCAGCACCACACTGTTTGAGGTAGTCAGCCCAGTCAAAGTCCTGGCTCCGGTAGCCTACATGGAGACAAAAGAGCAATGATTCACACACCACATATGCCTGCTGGCTCTAGCATTCTGCCAGGTGTCCACCCACAACTTCCAATTTCCAATGCTGCTAATTTATGTATTTTGATCACTGGGGCCAGACACTCTATAAATCCAAACCACCGTTAATAGTTTTTCAGTGCTATACATAGTTAATTTTATTAAACAGAGCAACTCTAGGCAACTATAATAAAATAATGAAATTCATGAGGTGTTTAAACTCCAAAATTTCAAACTAGGCATTTTTTTTTGAGTAGTATTTTGTATGATGAGTTACTGGCAATTTATCAAAAGATTTTAAAAAGTTATGACTGGATTTGATTATGCACAAAGAATTTTAGTCTTATCAATTTTATTAGTACTTTTTCTGAAGGAAAAGAAGTAAAAGTACCTTTTAATTAGTTAAGATTTTTCTTTGATAAGGTTATTTCTTTTCCTTTGCATATCTTAGCTAATAATGCTTTTTTTTTTTTTTTTGGTCTTTTTGAGACAGGGTCTCCCTGTAATCCCAGCTGGCCTGGAACTCACTATGTAGACCAGGCTGGCCTTGAACTCACAGAGATCTACCTGCCTCTGCCTCCTGAGTGCTAGGATTAAAGGAATGCACTACCATGGCCGGCAATACTTTTTTTTTAAATGACAGGGTCTCATGTAGCCCAGACTATACTTAAACTCATTACGTAGCCAAGGCTAACCTATGAACTCTTGATCCCCTTTCCTCTACCTCCCAAGTGCTAAGAATATAAGCATATGCCACCACACCTGGCTTTGATGTAATACTCTTAATATTCTTTTCAGATTCACGTACTATAGAATCTGTTGAATACTCTAAGGGATAGAAAGGATGGTTAATGGGCACAGGAGTGTAGCTAGATAGAAGGAATAATTTCTAATGTCCCTACTACTGTGGTTGACAGTAACACATATTTCAAACTACTAGTAGAGATGATTTGGACAGTTCATAGCTCAAAGAAATGATATTGTGTCTGAGGTGACAGATTTGCCAATTACCCCAACCTGGTCATTACACATTGCATATATGTATTAAAATGCTTCCCAGTACTCCATAAATGCATATGTGTCAATAAAGAATAATATTTTAGGGGCTGGAGAGATGGCTCAGTGGTTAAGAGCACTGACTGTTCTTGCAGAGGGCCCGTGTTTGATTCCCAGCACCCACATGGCGGCTAACAACCATTCATAGCTCTAGTTCCAGGGGATCCAATGTCCTCTTCTGACCTCCATGGGCATTGTACAACAAGGGTGCACTTACATACATGCAGGCAATATACTCATACACAAAAATAAAAATAATAAAACTCTCAATGCTCTTATAATCTGCATCATTAGTTTAAGAAAAAAGAAGCTAAAAAAAAATAAATAAAATTTAAAAAAAAGGGGGGGGGCTGGAGAGATGACTCAGTAGTTAAGAACACTGGCTGTTCTTGCAGAAGACCCGGGTTCGAATCCCAGCACCCACATGGCACCTAACAACTGTCCGTAACTCCAGTTCCAGGGGATCCAATGGCCTTTTCTGACCTCTGCGGGCATTGCACAACACAGGTGCACTTACCTACATACAGGCAATACATGCATACACATAAAATAAAAAAATAAATAAAAAACAAACAAACAAATAAATAAATAAATAAATAAATAAAATTTAAAAAAGAAAAAGAAAAAAGAAAAAAGAAGCTGCCAGGCATGGTGGAGCATGCCTGTAGCCCCATCACTTGGGAGGCAGAGGCAGGTGGATCTCTGGATCTCTGTGAGTTCAAGGCCAGCCTGATCTACATAGTGAGTTTCACGCCAGTTGAGGCTACAGGGAGACCCTGTCTCAAAAAGACCGAAAAAAAAAAAGAAAAGAAAAAAGAAGCTTACCTCTCTGCTTCAATCTACCTAAGGTCTTAACAGAAACACCTCCAAACTAGTGCCTGACTCAATATTATTCATGTGTAAGGAGCTGGGTGGCCACTTCCCACTGTGTCTGAATTGCTCTCTCCTTCGGAGCTTAATACCATACAGACACAGAGCAGGCTACTCAAGCCTGTGCCCTAGGTGGGTGTAGCAGTGCACATCTTTAATCTCAGTACTTGGGAGGCAGGCAGGCAGGTCTTTATGAGTTCCAGCCCAGTCTGGTCTATAGAGTGAGTTCCAGGCAAGTTAAGGCTATATAGCAAGACCCAGCTTCAAAAAAAAGACTATGCCTTCCTCTTTCTTGCCCAAAGAATAAAGGCCTCAGGGCTCCCTCTGACCTACCTCACTTTCTGACTGGACATCTGTTATTTTCATTTTTTCTATTATTTATTTATTTATTTATTTATTTATTTATTTATTTATTTAGCCTCAGCTGTCCTGGAGCTCACTATGTAGACCAGGCTGGCCTTGAACTCACAGATACCCACCTGCCTCTGTCTCCAGAGTGCTGGAATTAAAGGTGTGAGCCACCACACCCGGCTATAATTTATTTTTATGTGTGTATATTAGTATATGCATGTGCATGCAGATGCCTGTGGAGGCCAGAAGAGGGCCTCAGGCTCCCTGAGCCACCCAATCTGGGTCCTGGGAACTGAACTCGGGTCTTCTGCAAGGCAGCAAGCACTCTTAATTGTTCAGCCATCTCTCCAGCACCCCCAACTTCATTATTTTTAATAACATAGTTCATGCTTTCCTTTTGTTTTACAGCGATCAGTTGACTTATCTATAGCAATGCTAAGCAATTCTACATTTTTAATAATTATTTTCTCCTTTTCACATGAAGCTGGTGAGCAAGATAAAGAACTTGGGATTGCCTGTATCTTCCTGCAAAACAGGAAGTTCTGAATGTAAGTGTTCCATGCCACACCTTCCCACCAGACACTCCTATGTTTTGCTCACTTATAGAAGAGAACCTGGGAAGCTCTGTGGGTATTTTCTCCCATATGCCTCTTGAAAGGATTGTTATATCTTTGTCCTCTCAGTGACAAGCTCAATGCATGCTCATAACAAATATTCTACTAATATTTTTTGGATAAATGACAGCTACGTGGAAGGTTGAGGTTCTGAGTTTATGATCCTTGTTAACACATGAGTGCTTTCACAATCTTTCAGCAGTCAGCATTCAAAGTGAAGCCTTGTTTACCTAAAGTCTACTAAGTCAAAACAATATGATTTGCTGACAAAAAGAAAAATCAGACAAAAATTTGACATTTTCCAGATACTCTAGGTTTAAAATTACTAAAAAATTCAGTCAAGAACAACAAAATCATACTTCAGTGTCTTGACTAATATTGGCTTCCAGACAGATGGCTCAGCAGTTAAGAGCAGTTACTGCTCTTGCAGGGGCCTCAGGTTTGGATCCCAGAACCCACATGGAGGCTCACAACCATCTCTAACTCCGGTTCTGGGGGATCCAAAGCTCTCTTCTGGCCTCTGCAGGTACCAGGCATACATGTGGTACACATACATACGTAGGCAAAATATTCATACACAAAACAAATAAAATCTTAAAAATTAAAGACTTTTTTTTTGCAAAGTTACAAGCACAAATAAAGTGAGCTATTACTCCCTACCTAAAGCCTCTGAGTCCTACTCTTGACCATAACGTCCCTCTGAAGAGTCCCCTCCATAACAAGGTCGAGACACTAAAAATTACCCATGATCTACCTTTTAGCACTGGCTCTAACAAGCCAGGTCTAAATGCTCAGTGTTCATGTGATCTCCTAAGAGATTCTAGATGGAACAGACTAAAGAACCAGAATAGACTGGGGTTTAAATCTGTCCTTCTAGCTGATTATATAGTTATGTGTCATAATACAAGAACAGAACACACTATTTAACAATCTTAGTTTTATTTGTGACTCCAAATATTACAGAATTTAGCCCATCATTTACACTTATCTCAGACCCCCAAAATATTAGCGATGTGAGGCACAAAAATCTTGGAAATACCAACCAACACACATTTCAACAAACACACATTTCAAGGGCTAAGGCTGGAGGATCAGGAATTTAATATTTTTTTAGCTATTATTTTCATTATTTTACATGTATGAGTGTATTGCCTGCATGTATGTAAGTGCACCCTATGTGCAATGCCTGCGGAGGACAGAAGAGAATGTCAAATTCCCGGGAATTGGATTTATGGACTGTTGTTAGTGCCATGTATGTGCTGGGAACCAAATCTGGGTCCTCTGAAAGAGCAGCCAGTGCTCTTAACCATGAAGCCATCTCTCTAGCCCCAGGATGAGGAATTTAAGGACAGCATGGGCAACTGGGCTAGACAGTGAGACCCTGTCCAAATAATAATGATAATGAAGAAACAACAGAGGAGAGCTCAAATCTGTACCTGGAGGTGGGTTGATATGCAGACCATTCTTCAGACTCCACTGCACAGGAAAGATACCAGGACTACTGGCATGGCATACAAATGATCGCCGTGTATGGTCTTCTGGCCGAAGGTCATCCATTTCCACCAGAAAGTACCTCTCATCAAAAACCTGTGTAATTGATAGATAAAATTGAAAAATGGCTTTATATATATAACATAAATATCAGATATATGTGTATGTACATATATCTAATGTATATATGTATTTTCTTTGGCATAGACATGTTATATAAGTTCATTTATATACTGCACTGGGTATTAATAATGCTAACCATTTAATAATGTAAATCTCAGCAGGTCAGATGACTTGGCACACAAACAACTATTCAGCAGTTACATTCCACTTTGGGCTCTACTTTCAGCAAGTGGGATTCTACTCTAATCCTAAATTCTTTCCCTCACAGTGATTTGGTCACTGCACTTTGACAATGTATTCAGCTCTTAGCAAGAGTCTTAGTTTTTGTCAGTTATCTAAAAGATTCAAGTCTGATTCTGGAGTATATGTCTGTAGCTATCCTACTGGTGACACTAACTGCCAATTCCTATACACCTCTTAATCCCCAAAAGCCCTGCACCTAGTTAGATAAGCAATAGCACTACCTGTATTTATATTTTATAAACACTATGGTCTGTATACCAGTCCTTTCAAGTTATACAAAGTAAGGCTTGGTGGCTGAAAAATGGTTCAGTGGTTAAGAGCCCTGACTGCTCTTGCAGAGGACCTGGGTTCGATTCCCAGTGCCCACATGGCGGCTATGAACTGTCATCCTTAACTCCAGTTCCAGGGGAATCCAAAGCCTTCTTCTGACCTCCGCGGCATTGCATGACATGGGTGCACTCACATACATGCTGGCAATACACTCAATATGCATAAAATAAAAAAAATAAATAAAATATTTTAAAAAACAAAGTAAGGCTTGACACTAAAAACACATGCACTTCACTACTCCAGTACCCTGAAGCTACTCTGCTTTGGCTGTATAGGGCTACCAAGCTCCGAAGAAGAAATGGTACACAGAACATTAGACAATACAACACAAATTCTGATTTGACAATGAATTAGATTAGCACAGCCCAAAGATTAAAACACTAGTTTCTTCAACCAACACCCTAATGGGAATTCCTTCCAGAAGAATTGTTCCCACTTTACCTTAACAACTGTAGCAGGAGAGATCCCAAAAGGAGACCATGGGTCCACAGCTTCCAATTTCATATTTACAGAAAAGGTATGGATTCCAATAACTTGCTTATCCTGAAATATATATAACAAAAGTGAATAAAAATATAGTATTTTGGGGGCTGGAGAGACTGCTCTTGCAGAGGACCCGGGTTCGATTCCCAGCACCCACATGGCGGCTACGAACCGTCCTTAACTCCAGTTCCAGGGGAATCTGAAGCCCTCTTCTGACCTCCGTGGCATTGCATGACACAGATGCACTCACATACATGCAGGCAAAACACTCATATACAGAAGATAAAAATAATAAACAAAATATTTTTAAAAATATATAGCATTTTCGAATTAACTTTATATTCATTTCTACCTGAATACTTGGGATGATTAATCTTCATTGTCAACTAGGAGACACCTCTGGGTGTGTCTTTGAGGGCTTTTCCAAAGGTTTAATTAGGGCAGGAAGAACCACCCTGAAAGTGGGCAATACCACCCCATGGGCTGGGGTCCTGCACTGAATCTAAAAAGTAGAAAGTGAGCTGAGTACAAGCATTTCTTTCTCTCTGCTTCCTGACTGCAGACACACTGTACCAGCCACCTCATGCTCCTGCTGCCATGTCTCATGGCCACAATGGATTGTACAGCCCCTCAAATCATTAACCCAAATCAATGCTCCACTCCTTAAGCTGCTTTTGTCACAGCTACTTTGTCAAAGCAATGAGAAAAAGAAACTAATACAATGTTATACTAGTTAATTCAAATAACAGCACTGTTAAGCTTCTGAGACATCTTAGAATTTTTCTTTCCTGGAAAAAAAAAATCTATTCAAGACAAATGGGAAGAAGGGAGGAAGGGAGGGTGGGAGGGAGGGAGGGAGAGAGAGGGAAGGAAGAAGGGAGAACATCTACCCTCTACATTCTTAATACAATGGGCATCTGGGGGAAAAACCAAATTTATTTTCTAACAAGTTAGGGCTTTGTAGTTAAGAGCAAAAAAGAAGATATACAAATAACTATAGAAGGACTTGGGAAAAACCCAGGCAACTTCTGGAAGACAGCAAGGGTGATCATACCCTAGGCCTGACCCCTCCCTCCCTAGAGGCCATTTTCTTGTATCCAAGGATTATTTTTTACTCTTTACCTCCCCAAATTGTTTTCTCTGCTATAAAGAGAGAAATACTTATTTACCATGTTTCTGTTTTTACCTTAAATAAGTAAGATGGTAACGGCTCTTCCTCCTCTTCTTTCATTCTGGCCAAAACCTCTTGCCATTCAGCTTCATTCTTCAGATGTCTGATGGCTTTAGCAAGATAAAACAGCATTTATTATTATTATTTTATGTGTACCAGTGTATTGCCTGCATGTATTTAAGCGTACCCATGTCATGAAATGCCTGCAGAGGTCAGAAGAGGGCATCAGATCCCCTGGAACTGGAGTTATGGACAGTTGCTAGCTACCATGTGGGTGCTAGGATCTGAACCCAGGTCCTTTGCAAGAGAAGTCAGTGCTCTTAACCACTGAGCCATCTCTCCAGCCCCAAAACAGCATGTTTTAAGATGAGAAAAGCTACATACTTTTAACTATTCTAGAAGCATTCACATAAACACAAAAAGCATTTTCTACTGGGAAAGGAAAGGGTTCAGGCCATTTATTCCCATCTCCACACAAAAAAATTTTGCACCTTAATCTCAGTATTGGACTCTGCTCAGAGTCCAGAAAGTTAGATTGTGAAATTACCTACAGTAAGAACATAAATATTTCTGTAGCCCACAAAGTAATGAAATATACACTCAAATTGGGGTACAAAAGAATAAATGCAAAAAAGTTAAGGTTAAGCATGGATTAGGACAGAATTCTGGATGTACACTGAACTATAAGCACAATGATAAATTCAAAAGAAAAATATACAAATGTAACTACTTTATATAAACTTGTAACATTTTTCTATAATTAAAGTTTTTCATAGAATATAGAATACATTTTCAGCTTCATAGATATTAACAAATAGTTGACAGGAAAATGTTGTCTTACGCTTTACCTGGTGGAGGTTGAAGCTCATATCCCTGCTGATCAGCCCAACCAATGTGATGAAGAAACGGATCCAAGTAATACAACCAATGTTCAAAACTGTCAGAACTTTCAAGTCCTTCATAGCACAGCTTCAGCCTTCCCCCTATGTTTTCCACTACAGTAACAATCCAAGTGCTTAAAGAATCCCGAAAATCTTGGCATTCTAGTCTGGATCCTGGAGCAATGAGATCCAAAGGATTCCTTCCACTGCGGAGCTATAGGTTTTAAAAATGAAATCAGAGAAGTTAACATGTTTTTAAAAGTCAAGTTCTGCTGGGCATGGTGGCGCATGCCTTTGATCCCAGCACTTGGGAGGTAGAGGCAGGCGGATCTCTGTGAGTTCAAGGCCAGCCTGGTTTACATAGCAAGTTCTAGGACAGCTGGGGCTACAGGGAGATCCTGTCTCAAAAACACCAAAAAAAAAAAGACAATCCAGGCCAGGTGTGGTGGCGCATGCCTTTAATCCCTGCACTTGGGAGGCAGAGGTACGCAGATCTCTGTGAATTCGAGGCCAGCCAGGTCTACACAGTGAGTTCCAGGCCAGCCGGGGTCACAGGGAGACCTTGTCTCAAAAAAAGACCAAAAAAAAAAAAAAAAAAGACAACCCAGGGCTGGGAAGATAGTTCAGTTCAGTTGGTAAAGTGCTTACCATGCAATCATCAGGACCCAAGTTTGATCCATGGAACCCACATGGTAGTACTTATTTGTAATCCCAGCACTGGGGAGGCAGAGACAGGCATCTAGTACAGGGCTTACTGGCCAGGCACCCTAGACTACTTGGTGAGTTCTAGGCCAGTGAAAGACCCCAACTCAAAAATGAATGATACCTGAGGTTGGTCTCTGGCTTCCACATGCACATCAACACACACACACACACATGCACGCACGCACGCACACACACGCACGCACACACACACACACACACACACACACACACACACACATGAACAAATACACACAGATAACCCACTGCTCCAATAGAGATGAATGTCTAACAAACACAGAAAAAGATGCCCAACCTCTTTAGACCTTAGGGAACAGTAAGTCAAAATGGTCAGCCATGCCTACTAGGATGGCCACAACCAAAAGATAACAGGCATTGGTAATGATACAAAGAAACAGGGGTGGGGTATATATAACCATTCATATACGCCACAAAGAGCATTACTGGTATGATTTTTTAAAAAAGACATAACTTAGAAATTTAGGAAATCCATAATCAATAAATTAATTATACCCACTAACAAGTTCAAAAAGCTAACTTAAAAGGACTGTAGAAATGGTAGGAGTAAGAGAAGCCCACAGTTTTCTGAGCAAAAGAAAAAGGGGTCTCAAATTACAAGGTTGCAAATGCTCACCTTGAGGCAGTAGACCCTGAAGCTTCTTAGGTACTGAGCAAGCCACCAGTGTGGGACCTCTGAGAGTAATTTAAGCTTTTAATTCCTATGCCTATTACTTTAATAACAATGCTTATTTGTATCACATTAGTAAATTAGCGATCAATTTTAGATTCTTTACAAGGATTTTCTACACTGATTTGAGAAACAGTTATACTCACGCCCTCTAGCAGAGACACAGGAGGACTACATGCCCCTGTCAGAGTCTGCCGCAGAAATGCATCCCAATCAGACACTTTATCTCTGATGCCTAGATGAGGGAAGAAATGACTATTACTCATAATGTCAGTCATAGAACACAAAGAAACTAAATACACATAAATAGTTTAGAGGTATGTTTCCCATTTTAAGAGCTAAGAACCCAACATATTTCTTGAGAGCTTGAAAAGATGAAACAAAACAACTACAAAACTGCTCTTGATACAGCTACATTCTGGTTAGTTTAGTAAGAACTGTATGCAAAACAGAGAGACTATGAGTTGTACACAAAATAATTCTCTATTACTATAATTTTATCTAAATAGTGCCTCCTATATTTTTCTTACAGAATTTTCAAACATACAGAAAAGGTACAGAAAATGGTATACTGAACCCTCATGCATCCTATCTTCAAGGACTGTCACCTCCTGCCACCCTATTTCATCTAGAGCAATCAAACACAGAGCTTGTTAATATAGCTCTAGGGATCCCTTATCTCTGCCTTCAGGCTACAGTTAAGAATGGGTGGTCATGATCACCCAGCATTTACATGGGTCCTGGGGACACCAACTCCAGTCCTTACTGTTGAATGGCAAGAGTTGAATCACTAAGCCACCTCCCTAGCCCTATTTTAATATAACAACATATCTGGAGATGGTGTGCCAAGTACACTCCTTGGCTGCAAGTAAATGGTCCTTCTTTCTTTTTATTGATTACAATTTTCAACAAAAATCTATCTATCTGTATCTACCTACTTATATCTATATACAACACACGAGAGAGAGAGAGAGAGAGAGAGAGAGAGAGAGAGAGAGAGAGAGAGAGATCTTTTAAAATAAAGAGGCACAGAGGTCAACGTCTTCCCCTTTCTGGCTGGTGGGAGGTAAACAATTCTCCTTGTCTCTCAGATGTTTTCTCACCTGAATTCATTTCTGCAAGACTGAGACTCCTGGTTTTCTATTTGTATTTGTCTCTATATTTAGTCTATTCCTTTCTTGGACTCTTTTTAGTAATCTCTGTTTAGGTGTGCCTTTTGCACATGGACAAAAGTGCGTTACACTTTATGAGCCAATCTGAAATTGTTTGCTTTTAATAGAAGAGAAAGCCCATCTGTTGATAACAATATAGACATCCCTGATCTTGTCATATTGTTAAATGTTATAAGAAGTAGTTGTGTGTATGTTGTGTTTCACTATGTGATCTACTCTATTTGAATATAGACTTTCTCTTTTTAAACCTATGTTTTGGTGTATTTTTTTGTGTATATGTGGTATATACCACATGTATGTTGGTGCATTCACCTGTGAGCATGTATGTAGGACAGAGGAGGATATGAGGGATCATCCTCTATTCTTCATCTTATTTTTTGAGACAGGGTCTCTTACTGAACCTGAAGCTCTCTGTTTTGGCTAAGCTGACGACCAGCCAGCTCCCAGGATCTGCCTGACTTTACTCTCCAACACACACTGGAGTTAATACTCTCAACAACTAAGCCACCCCCCAAGCCCCTATACAAATATCTTAATTTTTTTTTAACTTTTGTATAAGGTAGCCCAGACTGGTCTCACATTCATATCCTTCCTACCTCTGCCACCTAGGTGCTGAGGTTATAGACATGTGCCATTGTGTCCAGCTCAAAATATCTTTATATAATTAGTCCTTTTTATTTCTGGACTATTTTCTTTTATTCCCCCTCTTTCTCTCTAAACAATACTATAACTGGCTATAACCTCTTTTATCTCTTCTTCTTCAATAGCACATTTCAGGTAATATTCTCTTATTTCCAGTTAACAATTTAAAAGTAACTGGTTAAATTACATGACAATTAAGGTCTAAAAAAAGAAAAAAAGACAAGTGATCTTATACCACTCTTTACATGCTCCCATCCATTGTCCCCTATTTTTACGATACTCTATCTACACTGTTTTCTTTTATGTGTCAGACATCTCTTTTCTAATCAGCATGTGGTCAAAGCTCATAGCTACAGTTGCACTTAATGCTCACTCTGGGCTCTTATGCTAATGTTATCCTATCTATTTAATTTATCTGAAGCTCATTCTTTAGTGGATTCCTTATGAAAGACTCATGGGAACAACACTCCTCAAATCCTTTTCATGTTCTTAACAATTTATCCATGGCCTTTACACTGGAAGTTCACCTTGGATAGACAGAAAATCCTCATCTCACATTCTCTCTCTTTCACTGAATTTCTTAATGTGTCATTATGTTGTTCTCTGGAAACTACTACTGCAAACAAAGCTCAAGAAAACCTGGTTTTTCTTTCTTTGCAAGAAATGAGGCCTTTTTCCCTGACTAATTAGGGGGCATTTTTTCCTTGTTTTAGGTTCAGCTCCTGGGCTCAAGGGATCCCTCTATCTTGGTCGCCTATCTATTCTAAGAGTGCCAACACATGCCAGAGTGCCATCTAGGACACATTTTAGCACAGCTCAGGATGTATACCAAATTGCATGATTTCTGTAACGTTTACTTACTGTCTGTAGTATTTTATTATTTCACTGTTTTACTTTCTTCTTCAGGACTTCTCTTTTATGTACCTTAAATCATTTTAACCTGTCTATATACTTTTTCTCAAGTCCTTTTATCTCTCTCTGGAGTGCCCTGCCACTAAGCTATATCCCAGCCTCAGCCTCCCATTAAAAAAACTTTTTTTTTTTTTGGCTTTTTGAGACACACTCTCCCTGTAGCCCCATCTGGCCTGAACTTGATAAGTAGACCAGGCTGGCCCTGAACTAACATAGATCTGCCTGCCTCTTCCTTCTGAGTGCTGAGACTAAAGGTATGCGCCACCAAACCCAACCCCTATTAAAAAATTTTAGAACATGTATTTACTTGTTGAGAGAGAGAGAGAGAGAGAGAGAGAGAGAGAGAGAGAGAGAGAGAATATGCACCAAAGGTATGTGAAGGTCAGAGAACAACTTGTGGAAGTTGGTTCTTTCCTTCCACAATCCACAATATGGGTCCCAAAGACTGAACTTAAGTCATTAGGCTTGGTGAAATGCATCTTTACCTACTTGCTGTTAACCTGCTGAGTCATCTCACAGGCCCCACTCCCATTCATTTTTTCTTAAAATGTTTTCTTTTCTTTAATCTTCTATTTCTCTTCAAATACTGTCTACGTAGTATTAATTCATTCTGTGCTTACTAAATTTTCAACTTTGACTTTTTATT